ATTCCGCCTCAGAATACAGTAGGATTCCGCCTCAGAATACAGTAGGGTTCCGCCTCAGAATACAGTAGGATTCCGCCTAAGAATACAGTAGGATTCTGCCCCAGGAGGCGGCAAGATTCCGCATGAGAATACAGTAGGATTCCGCCCCAGAATATGGTAGGATTCCGCCTCATATTACGGTAGGATTCCGTCCCTGAATAGGGTAGGATTCTGCTTCAGAATACACTAGGATTCCACCTCAGAATACAGTAGGATTCCGCCTCACAATGCGGTAGGATTCCGTCCCAGAATAGGGTAGGATTCTACCCCAGGAGCCGGTAGAATTTCGCCTCAGAGTAGGGTAGGATTCTGCCTCAGAATACAGTAGGATTCCTCCTCACAATACGGTAGGATTCCGTCCCAGAATAGGGTAGCATTCTGGCCCAGTAGACGGTAGGATTCCGCCTCAGAATACTGCAGGATTGCTTCAGAATACGGTTGGATTCCGTCCCAGAATAGGGTATGATTCCGCCACAGGAAACGGTAGGATTCCGCCTCAGAATACGGTAGGATTACGTCCCAGAATAGGGTAGGATTCCGCCACAGGAGACGGTAGGATTCCGCCTTAATATACAGTAGGATTCCGCCTCAGAATACAGTAGGATTCCGCCTCAGAATACGGTAGGATTACGTCCCAGAATAGGGTAGGATTCCGCCACAGGAGACGGTAGGATTCCGCCTTAATATACAGTAGGATTCCGCCTCAGAATACAGTAGGATTCCGCCTCAGAATATAGTAGGATTTTGCCTCAGAATACGGGAGGATTCCGAAACAGAATACAGTAGGATTCCGCCTCAGAATACGGTAGGATTCCGTCCCAAATAGGGTAGGATTCTGCCCCTGGAGACGGTAGGATTCCGCCTCAGAATACGGTAGGATTCTTCTTCAAAATACGGTAGGATTCCGTCCCAGAATAGGGTAGGATTCTGCCCCAGGAGATGGTAGGATTCCGCCTCAGAATACAGTAGGGTTCCGCCTTAATACAATAGGATTTCGCATCAGAATACAGTAGGATTCCGCCCGAGAATAGGGTAGGATTCAGTCCCAGAATAGGGTAGGAGTCTGCCCCAGGAGACGGTAGGATTCCGCCTCAGAGTACAGTAGGATTTCGCCTCAGATTACAATAGGATTACGCCTCGGAATACAGTAGGATTCCACCTCAGAATACGGTAGGATTCCGTCCCAGAATACGGTAGGACTCTGCCCCAGGAGACGGTAGGATTCCGTCCCAGAATACGATAGGATTCCGTCCCAGAATACGATAGGATTCCCTCCGAGAATAAGGTAGGATTACGTCCCAGAATAGGGTAGGATTCTGCTCCAGGAGACGGTAGGATTCTGCCTCAGAATACGGTACGATTCCGCCTTAGAATACAGTAGGATTCCGCCTCAGAATACGGTAGGATTCCGTCCCAGAATAGGGTAGGATTCTACCCCTGGACACGGTAGGATTCCGCCTCAGAATACGGTAGGATTCCGTCCTAGAATAGGATAGGATTCTACCCCTGGAGACGGTAGGATTCCGCCTCAGAATACAGTAGGATTCCGCCACAGAATAGGGTAGGATTCTGTCCCAGAATAAGGTAGGATTCTGCCCCAGGAGACGGTAGGATTCTGCCTCTGAATACAGTAGGATTCCGCCTTAGAGTACAGTACGATTCTGCCTCAGAATACAGTAGGATTCCGCCTCAGAATACAGTAGGATTCCGCCTCAGAATACAGTAGGATTCCGCCACAGAATAGGGTAGGATTCCGTCCCAGAATAAGGTAGGATTCTGCCCCAGGAGACGGTAGGATTCTGCCTCAGAATACAGTAGGATTCCGCCTTAGAGTACAGTACGATTCTGTCTCAGAATACAGTACGATTCCGCCTCAGAATAGGGTAGGATTCCGTCCCAGAATAAGGTAGGATTCTGCCTCAGAATACAGTAGGATTCCGCCTCAGAGTACAGTATGATTCCGCCTCGGAATACAGTAGGATTCCGCCTCAGAATACATTAGGATTCTTCCTCAGAATGCGGTAGGATTCCGTCCCAGAATAAGGTAGGATTCTGCCCCAGGAGACGGTAGGATTCTGCCTCAGAATACAGTAGGATTCTGCCTCAGAGTACAGTACGATTCTGCCTCAGAATACAGAAGGATTCCGCATGAGAATACGGTAGTATTCCGTCCCAGAATACGATAGGATTCCGTCTGGGAATAGGGTAGGATTTCGTCCCGGAATAGGGTAGGATTCTGCCCCAAAAGACATTAGGATCCCTTCCCAGCATACGGTAGGTTTTCGTTCCAGAATAGGGTAGGATTTCGTCTCAGAATAGGGAAAGATTCTGCCCCAGGAGACGGTAGGATTCCTTCTCAGAATACAGTGCGATTCCGCCTCAGAATACAGTAGGATTCCGCCTCAGAATACAGTAGGATTCCGCCTCAGAGTACAGTATGATTCTGCCTCAGAATACAAAAGGATTCCGCATGACAATACGGTAGTATTCCGTCCCGGAATACAATAGGATTCCGTCTGGGAATAGGGTAGGATTCTTTCCCGGAATACGGTAGGATTCTGCCCCAAAAGACATTAGGATCCCTTCCCAGTATACGGTAGGATTTCGTTCCAGAATAGGGTAGGATTTCGTCTCAGAATAAGGAAGGATTCTACCCCAGGAGACGGTAGGATTCCGTCTCAGAATACAGTGGGATTCCGCCTCGGAATACAGTGGCATTCCACCTCAGAATACAGTAGATAATCTACAGTAAAGTACATTATCTACTTTACGAGAAAGTAGATTATCGAATTTTCGGGGAAGTAGATTATGGACTTTCGTGGATATATTACCGAGTTTTCCGCCAAAGTCGATAATCTACTTTCTCGAAAAGTAGATAATCTACTTTTCGGGATGTAGATAACCAACTTTTCCGGAAAGTAAATATTTCTCATTTTCTATGATACAAATTTCCCGTTTTCTATGATAATCTACTTTGGAAAATGTTAATATTTCCCAAAAATTCGATAATCTACTTCCACGAAAAGTAAATAATCTACTTTTCAGGAAAGTAGATAACCAACTTTCCCAGAAAGTAGATATTTCCCATTTTTCATGATATAAATTTCCCGTTTTCTATGATAATCTACTTCGCAAAATTATGTAATATTTCCCCAAAAGTCGATAATCTACTGTAGTGGCTCCTCTCCCCTACAACTTCCAACTGAGCTCCGGCCGCGCGCCGACCAGCCAATCAGCGTACAGCCAGCTACGCCGAGAGACTAGGTCTATGCAGAGGACGTAGGGGTACGATCGCCGACCTAGTCTCGACCATCAACCTCCAGTTCAGGATCAGAGCGTTTCACACCTTACGCTTGAGCCGCTGTGATTGGCCCTCTCGCTACGCGCACCCCAAATCCTGATCCTCGTAAATTGTATAAATACGGCCATGCCTGCCCAGGGAGAACATTCTACACTCAGCTACTGGACCAGCAACATCTCTCACAGCTCCTCACCTAGTCACTCCTCAGCACTGCGCTGTACAACAATATATATACAGAAAGTGCATTGTGAGTTTCTATCCTACCTCATTCCTGAGTGGAGATATCTACATGTACGTACGTTTGTGTGCCCATTTAAAGAGAATTGACAACTGGCCACATACAGTACGCTACACTACTTCCCCAAAAAGTATATAATCTACTTTTCTGGAAAGTAGATAACCAATTTTCCCAGAAAGTAGATATTTCCCATTTTCTGTGATACAAATTTCCCGTTTTCTATGATAATCTACTTTGGAAAATATGTTAATATTTCCCAAAAAGTCGATAATCTACTTCCACGAAAAGTCAATAATCTACTTTTCCGAAATGTAGATAATCTACTTTTTGGGTTACCTGAATAGAAGGAGTTAAGTGTATGGCCAGAGGGTGTAACAAAGACTTATTAAGGTGGTATGGGTGCAGGAGAGGATAGTGAAAGGGTAAAATAGTAGGTTGGACTGGGTCACCACTTCAGTTGCAGGAGGAAACAGGTGGACCACTATTTTGAGGACAAACAGGGAAGAGGAGGCGTGGAGGCTGTTGTCCGGCCGGCTTGGCAGATAATATACTACAGTAAGATGCTTTAAAGTGTGACATTGTGATCTTGTGTGATGATCTTGTGCATCAGCAAAGTGTAGGTAGTTATAAAACTTTGTATTACTTGAAGATAATAGATTTATTTCTACATAAGTAATCTACACATACAACCAACATATTCAATGGTTTTTACTGTAAGAATTATCAAGTACCGACGTAGCGATCGCTGGCCATCACAGAGGCTGTTGGCAATGGGTAAGAAGTTATCTAAATATCAAAAGTAGAAAACACTTACTCAGCCGCTTTACAAGTGATTCTTACACAACAAATAACAACAAGGAATTTAGTTCAAAATATTCACAAAAGAAAACATTAACAGAGCGAGGATTACATTAACCACATATTTTAGATAACCAGTTTGTTACTGAAAATGAGAGGATGTTGCAGTAAAGTAAGTTTTGATTTTAATGTAATGTACTGATGCCTGCTGAGAGTTAAAAAAAAAAAAATAATAATAATAATTATAATTATAATTATAATTATAATTATATATATATATATATATATATATATATATATATATATATATATATATATATATATATATATATATATATATATATATATATATATATATATATATATATATATATATATATATATATAAGCATGAAATATTCACGTGTATCTTAATTTATATACATTATAACATACAATGTGAGCCTCGGAGAGTTGTGTTGTAGGCAAACCTTCCTTCCTCGACCTCTTGTCAACTCAACCTGTACAAATGTTAATCTTCTGTACTATGTGATAAAATGAATTAAGTCGCCAAAACTGAATATATTCTGCACCTTAACATCCAGCAACACATATAAAACAGCATCGTGTTTAGTGGACCATAAATATAAGAGCAACCTGTTGACAACTTACAACCAATTTAACTTTTATCAGTATTCATCCTAATCATTAGTCATCTATAATCCTGACCGTATGCTCTATTATTAATCCATTTAATTCTTATCCTAATATACAATAAAGAATTAAATTCTTTTCAGTTAATATGAACTGGTTATTTAACACCAGCATTGCACTCTGATAATGAATGGCCTAATATTTATTTCATCTTGAGTAGGAAAATTTTTCAAAAGTAATTTATTCAAGGTAATCAGATGCTAGTTAAAGTGACATTAATGAGTCATGGAAACACTATTGTAGACGTCTTCCCTTCTGCCTTACCTCTTGGTGGTCTACCATACTCTACAGTACCTCTTGGTGGTCTACCATACTCTACAGTACCTCTTGGTGGTCTACCATACTCTACAGTACCTCTTGGTGGTCTACCATACTCTACAGTACCTCTTGGTGGTCTACCATACTCTACAGTACCTCTTGGTGGTCTACCATACTCTACAGTACCTCTTGGTGGTCTACCATACTCTACAGTACCTCTTGGTGGTCTACCATACTCTACAGTACCTCTTGGTGGTCTACCATACTCTACAGTACCTCTTGGTGGTCTACCATACTCTACAGTACCTCTTGGTGGTCTACCATACTCTACAGTACCTCTTGGTGGTCTACCATAAACAGACCATTACTCTAGGTCTCTATCCATTATAGTTTAATTTATGTTAATATTTCTGCAGTTGTCCCCATTCCTCACTCTGCCTTGTACAGTACAGTTCCAACCTTCTTATCTATGTGTGTAGATGCAGGTAAAGGTTGATGGCTTTACTTCCTCTATAACCAAATATAAATGTGAATTCCCTGAAGAAATAAAGAGTGGTCATCATACTACTGTACTGTACTGTACTGAACTGTACTGCGCTGAACTGTGCTGTACTGTACTGAATCGTGTTGTACTGCACTGTACTGTGCTGTACTGTACTGTACTATACTGTGCTGTACAATACTTTACTGTACAATACTTTACTGTACAATGCTACTTGAGAGGGGTAGGTTAGGTTATTGTTAGGATGGCTGTACTGGAAGAATCAATTAACTCTATTTGTACAGAAACATTGGCACTACTGTTTATTTTATAGTGAGTACTGTACGTTTTATGGTGAGTACTGTACGTTTTATGGTGAGTACTGTACCGTTTTATAGTGAGTACTGTACCGTTTTATATATTTCTCTCATAATAAAAATAAATTCCACAACTATTCCCGTATTTGTAAACTAATGAAAGTAAGATTTTTGATATGGTCTTGAGATATGTTTGTGTACTAAAACTATACTTAAGAAATGACAAGAGAATCACCTGAAGATTAGGTCCTTTCCAGTTTTCATCTGATGATTAACCACCCGTTACTACTTAGAGAGTTAGGTTAATCTTAATATGAAATAAATATGGGGAATGCAAACCTTGTAACCTGTACAGTACAAGCAACTGTAGTATAGCTGTTTTTCAAATACTATATTGTAAAATGTTATCTCTTAAATCTGTGACTACATATTCTTAAAAAAACAATAACTTCAAATAATTCTCACAAGTAAAATTTCTAGTATCGCGTAGCATTGAAATAAGTTTTAATCAAGAAATTTCTCACTTGGTTGACCAGTGGTAACGTATGAACAGTAGCTCTCACCATTGGGTTCCATCCCCAGTGTATCAGAGATGTTAGACCCTACCAAACATGGCAGGTACTATACTGTTTCCTCCTGTACTAACACTGGACAAAAAAGTTCAAAACAACGTAACAAAAAGGCAACCTAATAATATCGATGAACATTTTAAAATATATAGTGAAGATAAAGATCAAATGAAGAACAAAATTTATCGTCATTATGTTTTGATTTTTAATTTATTTATTTAATGATTTTTCTCCATTACCAAGTGAGAGTTTCTATGCGTGATATTAGTAACGTCTACAGTCTTCTATGTCATATTAACAGACATCCACACTTCTGGAACATTACTGGTGAGTCTCTAATAATTGTTTTGAGGCGAGTAACATTGTAGTCCTCTGTAGATGTTCAGTCACCAATGCTCATTAGTACAAATGATAAGAAGCTACAATTTACAGTCTAAATGGAAGAAGATGAAGCAAATCACTTCTTATGCTCTTACCTATCCATTATTTTGCTTGTAATTTGGCTGATTCACTATTAAATAACGGCTTTAATGGGAGGCGTTTGTTTTTCATAGGATACCGGAGTACAGTCCCCAGACAAAACCGACCATGAAGACTACATCGACTAAGTCTTTTGAGAACCTTAGGTAATTACTCTCAGTTTATACAGTATTTATAACCATACAAGAATGTTTATATAACAAAATCAAACTGCACAACGTCCTTCTCGTAGGAATGAATCTGTGGAATAGTTGCATATGGATATTGTTCTACTCTACCTCTACTTATCATGTTTGTGCTTTTTGTAAAATATACTTAATTATATATCACAAAAATAAATATCAATATTGTAGTGTAATTGTTAAAACAAGAAGAATGATCATGAGTGTATGTCTGTCTCACCCGGCTGGTCAACTGCCCATTGTACTGTACTTCCGATATAGTTTTTCTTTAAATTTAATTAAGTTCTTTTATAATTTATTCAAATCAGTAACAAAAGGACCTTTAGACATGATTTTCAACTAACGGTGTTCGACGAGAAACACTAACAAACATATGGTGTGGCTTTTGAAGGTTGTGACAAACTGCTTTATAACAAAAGACACCTTTGTAAGTTGTGAACACTTGATGAGTACAGTGGATGTACTGCATTTTAATTATATATTCAGCTTTAGATACTATATAAAAAAGGGTGAAAATGGTCATTCAATATGCAACAATCAAGAGTTAAACAAATGATCAGTAAAGACAATATCTTCTGCTTAATATCTTCATACTGTGTTTGGTGCAGACCTTAGGCCAACCAGGTGGTCCACTTGAAGGAAAGTTTATATCAAGACTTAGTTTCTTGATGGAGTGTTTACACTGTAATACATGATCTACGTACACTATAGTCCATATATTAAAATTAAATGTGAATAAACAAATTAAGATCACCTTCGAGTAGTGACACATTATATCTGTAGTACAAGACACTGTAGGCACAATATAGTGTATCAAAGAGTATGAAATATTCCAGGATTCCTAGAGTCAGGTTATTACAGTTGTAGTTAATGAGAGTCAAATTATAAGATTAATAACTGGGTGAGTTTAACCTCATTTTTTAACAACTTTGACGACACTAAATGGCAGATAAATACACACACTGTTCAGTAAAGAAAATAAAATCATGCTTGTGAAGTCATAATTATTATAGCAATATAAAGAAAGACAGTTTTATAACATCACATAATGACCAAAGATCATGTATTTTAATGTACACTTTGTCACTGTACAGTAACCAGAATGAAATAAGTCTGGTGAAGTGCAATTTTTGGGCTGAAAATTTGAAGGAAACAAAGTTGTATTTTGAAGTTTATCATTTACCAACTCTAAGACCAAGAAGCTGGAAATCTTGCATACCCATTCTGACCGTGAAAACCTTTTGTAGCTTCACACACAGATGGTGGATGTGCCTACAGGAGGTCATATTATGTAGCCTCACACACAGATGATGGATACCCCTACAGGTTCTCTTAACTGGGAAGTATCAATTTGTTATGGACAAAATCACCAGGCAGGTAGAGTACACCGGTATATTTAAAGGCCTGTTGACATAACCTGAGCTGTACTGTACTGTACTGTACTGTACTGTACTGTACTGTACTGTACTGTACTACAGCTGAAGGTCTACAGTGACTACAGCTAAAAGTCTACAGTAACTACAGCTGAAGGTCTACAGTAACTACAGCTCAAGACAAAATAAGTAAGGGTTGCTAATCTTCACGTGGCCCATAAGTTGTATAAACCAAACACACTGTACTTGCACCATTTTGGGAGGGAACAGTTTTACCAGTCAAAACCTTGGGTATATTATTTGTGAATTATTGATATGAATATTTATTTATCCTTTCAAAAACTTAACTGAAAAAATTCTTTAAATTTGTGTTTGGTTAGATTTCCAATATTTTACTTATACTGTACGGTACTATAGAGTATATTACATGTGAACAGTAAGAAGACTTGTCAATGTTTTTAGCATATCTGATTAGTATACACGTACCTTACAGTATATTCTTTATGGATCATTCAACACCTGTAATTCTGATACGGGAAACCCATTAATTATCAATACAAATACATTTTCTTTCCTAATAGCACTTGGTTATATTGATACACATATGTTCTTTACATTTAGAGCCTTAAAGAAACTTGCAAGAATATAGTTAGTTATTTCTGCTTTCTTTAAATTACGTGTAATGTTAGTACAATTACTGTACACTTTCCTACTGTACCTCCTCCACCATGTCTATATTTCTTTCTCACGATCCATTATTTATCAGTGTTTTTATTAACATGAGTCCCGCCATCATGTAATCCACCCCTGGGGTTAATAACTTAACAAATAAACACGGGTATAACACTCACTCTACTGTACTGTACTGTACTGTACACACCTCTTATAACACTCACTCTACTGTACTGTACACACCTCTTATAACACTCACTCTACTGTACTGTACTCTACTGTACACACCTCTTATAACACTCACTCTACTGTACTCTACTGTACACACCTCTTATAACACTCACTCTACTGTACTGTACTCTACTGTACACACCTCTTATAACACTCACTCTACTGTACTGTACTCTACTGTACACACCTCTTATAACACTCACTCTACTGTACTGTACTGTACTGTACACACCTCTTATAACACTCACTCTACTGTACTGTACTGTACTGTACACACCTCTTATAACACTCACTCTACTGTACTGTACTCTACTGTACACACCTCCTATAACACTCACTCTACTGTACTGTACTGTACTGTACACACCTCTTATAACACTCACTCTACTGTACTGTACACACCTCTTATAACACTCGCTCTACTGTACTGTACTGTACTGTATTGTATTGTACTGTACTGTACTATACTGTATTGTACTGTACTGTACTGTACTGTACTGTATTGTACTGTACTTTACTGTATTGTACAGTAATGTACTATACTGTATTCTATTGTTCTTTACTGTATTGTACTATACTGTACTATACTGTACTGTACTGTACTATACCGTATTGTACTGTACTGTACTGTACTGTACTATACTATACTGTACTGTACTGTACTGTATTGTACTGTACTGTATTGTACTGTACTGTACTGTAGTATATTGTACTGTACTGTACCGTATTGCACTGTACTGTACTATACCGTATTGTACTGTACTGAACTGTACTGTACTATAATATACTGTACTGTACTGTACTGTACTGTACTCTATTGTACTGTACTGTATTGTACTGTACTGTACTGTACTGTATTGTAGTGTACTGTACTGTACTGTATTGTATTGTACTGTACTGTATTGTACTGTACTGTACTATACTGTATTGTACTGTACTGTATTGTAGTGTACTGTACTGTATTGTAGTGTACTGTACTGTATTGTACTGTACTGTACTGTACTGCACTGTACTATATTGTGCTGTACTGTACTGTACTGTACTGTACTGCACTGTACTATATTGTGCTGTACTGTACTGTACTGTACTGTACTGTACTATACTGTACTGCATTACACTGTACATACTGTATTGTATTGTACTGCAATGTACTATATTGTACTGTACTGTACTGTATTGTACTGTACTGTACTATATTGTACTGTACTGTACTGTACAGTATTGTATTGTATTGTACTGTACTGATTGTAGTGTACTGTACTGTATTGTATTGTACTGTACTGTATTGTATTGTACTGTACTGTACTCTATTGTACTGTACTATATTGTACTGTACTGTACTGTACTATACTGTACTGTATTGTACTGTACTGTACTGTACTATACTGTGCTGTACTGTACTGTACTGTTCTGTACTGTACTATACTGTGCTGTACTGTACTGTACTGTACTGTATTGTACTGTACTTTACTGTACTGCACTGCACTGGACTGTACTGTACTGTACTGTAATATACTGTGTTGTACTGTACTGTACTGTACTGTACTGTATTGTACTGTACTGTACTGTACTGTACTGTACAGTGAACCCTCACTTTACGCGGTCAATTGAACCCACGGAGGCCCGCGTAAAGCGAGAAACGCGTAAAGTGAACAGCATAACATATGGGATTAAATGAAATAGAGACCGGCTGACCCCCAAACTCCACTTTTTCCGACACAATACCTATGTTCTAGTAAAAATAACATCTTAATTTTTTGATGGTACATGCACACAATTAATACTTAAGAGAAATAGAGAAATACAGTCGCCAAGTTAATGTCCATTCAAATACAGTTGTACCCCAATTTACGCGGTCAATTGAACCCACAGGGTACCGCGGAAAGTGAAAACCGCGAAAAGTGAACAACAGAACATATGGGATTAATTCCAATAGAGGCTGGCCTGACCCCCAAACTCCACTTTTTCCGACACAATACCTATGTTGTAGTAAAAATAACATCTAAATTTTATGATGGGATGCTCACACAATTAATATTTAAGAGAAATACAGTCGCCAGGTTAATGTCCATTCAAATAATGGACTCAAATCCCCCCCCCCCCCTCTTCCCAGCTCACTGGCCCCTACCTCTCTGAGAAATGATTGGGTGAAACACTAGATTTTAACGTTTAGTAATAAATAATACCTCAGACTAAAGTTAGGATAATATAATTGACATTTCTGGATTCCTTGCAGGTCAGGGAATATTTTGAATGTAAACTTCATATATTTTGCACAAAAGATAAAATACTTGCTTTGTGTAAACCAAATTATTACATTAGATCTAAAATTTGTATATCTAATGCAAAATCCATGATGTTTATTTTCAAAATGATTATCATATTGTAAGAATTCCAGCAATGTAAATTATATTCTGGTCCAGTAATTTGTATGAATTTTATGAGCTAAAACAAATATCTTCAGTTAATAAAAAAAAAAAATATTCTTCACGACACTATCTGTCAATCAAAGTACCCCACCTTGCCTCCCCCCCTCTTCCAACTGCGCCAGATGGTCGGTCGGTCCCAACCCTCCCCCCACCCCCCACCTTCCCTCCCTTCCAGAGAAATGTTGGGTGAAAGAACTAGATTTTAACTTTTAGTAATAAATAATACCTCAGACTAAAGTTAGGATAATATAATTGACATTGCTGGATTCCTTGCAAGACCAGGAATATTTTGAATATACACTTCAAATATTTTGCACAAAAGATAACATATTTGCTCTGAGTAAACAAAATACTTGCATTAGATCTAAAATTTGTATGTCTAATGCAAAATCTATGATGCTTATATTCAAAATGATCATCAAATTGTAAGAATTCCAGCAATGTAAATTATATTCTGGCCGGATAATTTGTATGAATTTTATGAGCTAAATAAAAAAATTATACTTCACCCGCGTAAAGGGGTACACGCACCGCGGAATGTGAGCATCCCGGGTTCTGGCAGGGTACCGCGTAAACGTGGAAACGCGGAATGTGGGACCGCGTAAAGTGAGGGTTGACTGTACTCAGAAGCAGCCCATCTTGGCCTCAACACAGCACCACTGGTGTACACATTCCCTGGTCTATTACATACTGTATATACAGTTAATCCTAAATTCTAATGTAAATGAATCATATTTCAAGAAAAAAATTTAATATCCATTGACAGCAAAAATACAGTATTATCTACTGTCAATTGTAAAAAATATTACATTTAACAATGAATCTTAAACTTATATTAAAGATTTGTGTGGAGTCACATGTACAGTGAAGCACTTGACTCTTGTTTACTGCACTGTACTGTATAATACAAAAGACCTTTGACAAATACTTTGATTATACAACATCAATGGCATTCTTCAACTACATCATAAATAATCCACTATTTTATATATATATATATATATATATATATATATATATATATATATATATATATATATATATATATATATATATATATATATATATATATATATATATATATATATATATATATATATATATGTATATATATATGATATGTTATATTTTGCTGGATCTTATACTGTGCAGTACAGTATATTGAAGTAAGTTGTGTACATCCAGCAGCACAAACATGTTACCTTGTACTGTACTTTACATAGTGGTAAAGGTCAGAGTACCTCTAGTTGTGTTGACTATAGCATCATTGAGCTTTAAACAGTGATATGGTGAATACAATACAATACTCCGAGTTTGTATCGACCTTTCAATATTGTTTTTCAGTTCCGTCTTGACACACATGAGATTCATACTGGGAATGCATAATAACTTATTGTGTTGAACTGTAAACATATATATAAAATTTAAATTAAATTATATATGTACTATACTGTACTGTACTGTCAAGTTACAGTGTTAAGTTACTTCACCTTTACACAACCTATACTGTAATAATATATAAGGTATCCTAGAGCTGCAGAAAACAACGGTATATTCATAAGAGTTACAGTACATTATTAAAGTTTTATAATGGTGTGAAAAAGATGGATGATAAACTATGATTATCAGTCTAGGTATAAAGAAAACTGTAGTGAAGAATTAACACACAGTTTTACACAACTCAGGTGCCTAATATTGGCTTCACAGTGAAACGCCCACATAATGGTCTTCTCCAGCCATATAACCCCTTAGATGAGAGCTTCATATCCAACGGACCCTCGATGTATCAGATTCCCTCTCCATATATTATACATAGTCCATTAAATAGAGTTTTCACTGCACTGTTATATAACTATTAATATTTAACTTTAGAGAAACAAAAGAAGTGACAATCAAGGATTATTAGTAACTTGGTGAGAAAACTTACGACCAACACTCAAGATACAAACATTACACTGGTTTATAACAAGAGGCTTGACTTCTTTTACTATAAAATAAAGTTGTTCTTTTAAACTCTCTCTCTTTCTATATATAACTTAAAACAAACTTTAATGAATTACATACAGTATATTGCCAACCCCTTGATCATGTTACCTTATTCACCACACCTATACTGTACAATAATTATATTAACATAACAAAATATCAATAATCAATAAAATAAACAATTCCATTTATTTTTTCCGCTCCTGTCCGCAAGGATTATAACTTTACTTTTAATTTCCAACTTATTATAAAATTATAATAATATAGTTGGTTCTTTAAAGTACTGTACTGTATAGAGTGGTTGGGGCGGTGACTGTCCTCAAGGGGTCAACAGCCTGAGGTCAATATATACTTTAATCAAGAATAATTATTGAAAACTTGTTCTTTATACCAACATCAATTTTTCTTGTAAGGTTTTTTAGGGCAAATTATTATTATTTCACTAAAGATGGTGGGGAGCTTAGGATGGTGGGGAGCTTAGGATGGTGGGGAGCTTAGGATGGTGGGGAGCTTAGGATGGTGGGGAGCTTAGGATGGAGGGGAGCTTAGGGTTGGGGAGCTTAGGATGGTGGGAGCTTAGGATGGTGGGAGCTTAGGATGGTGGGGAGAGCTTAGGATGGTGGGGAGCTTAGGATGGTGGGGGAGCTTAGGATGGTGGGAGGTTAGGATGGTGGGAGGTTAGGATGGTGGGAACTTGGGATGGTGGGGAGCTTGGGATGGTGGGGAGCTTAGGATGGTGGGGGGCTTGGGATGGTGGGGATGGGATGGTGGGGAGCTTAGGATGGTGGGGAGCTTAGGATGGAGGGGAGCTTAGGGTTAAGGGGAGCTTAGGATGGTGAGAAGTTTACAGTAGGATGGTGGGGAGCTTACAGTAGGATGGTGGGGAGATTACAGTAGGATGGTGGGGAGATTACAGTAGGATGGTGGGGAGATTACAGTAGGATGGTGGGGAGATTACAGTAGAATGGTGAGAAGCTTAGGATGTTGGTTTACAGGATTAAATCTGGTATGGATATTATTTGTGGCTTATCATAAGGTAATTAACCCAGATGTAATATATCTTAGTTACCTATAAAACACATATATACACGATATAATACATCAAGTACAACAAGGATAAGTTCACTGATAAAGAAGAGGTATTTATGCAAAATATTTCATTTGGGGGACAATATACAAGATAATAGTAATTACTTTATCTTCATATTTACATTATTTACAAGAAATTCTAATTTATCCAATATCAAACCTCACAGTAAGGCCGTCTTAACCCGTTCTCCCATCACTAAAAAGTAAACACACTGAATGAGGCCAAATGGAACATCAAAATCACATTAATGATTAGTACACATAAGTCCCTTGATCCATAGGGTGGTTTAAATATACTCACTTCTCGACCTGTCAGCCAACTACAGTACACTAATCACACTGTGATTTAGTCTTAGAAAAGTGTTATTTTAAAAACACTGGATGGCTTCATCTCACTGAAATTATCTACACTTGAGTCAATCACTTTTAGTATTTCAGGCAAGACAAAAACTGTCCATTATCAGAACACAAATGGTGACTCTCAAACTCTGCAACAGCACTTTGGTTAACAAGTACTCCACATGGATTTATTTATTCTTAAATGGTTTTTATAAAGTATTAATGGCCGTTCATTGTAAGAACATGATCGGGATCTGTATCTGACTTCATAAAATTGAAATCATTACAATCTTTGGTAGGACACGGCACTACACTAACACACCTTGGGGTGCTCTCAACATTGAGATCACAGGAAACACGTTTTTTTTTCTATATATAAATATGTCCATAAATAATAATTCTTTAACAATATTATTAAATTAATTATTAAAAAACAATATACAATTTCAATATTTAAAATTATCACTTCCATTAAACATTTTCTCTAAGTACAATACTTGTTTAGAGTTTTAAATACAGTCAAATTTGTGATAAGTGCTGCACATATTTATCTCCACACTCTCTGAAACTTTTTAAGGGAGACTTTTTTTAGTTTATGAACAGCAGCGCGAAGGTCAGAGGGAGGATGCTCTTCGTCCGAGAGAATTTCCCCCTCAGAGTGAGCACCACTTGAACCACCTGCTCTCCATGTGTCATGAAGGCTCTTGAACCTACGATCGGGAAAATTTTCGTGAGGAGCGGCAAGAGCACTCGGATCACTGTACGTCTCTTTAACGGGTCGTCGTTCGTAGTGCCTCGATCGGCTGACGCGACTTATCGCCGTCGAAAGTGTTAAACTGAGTGCCGAGGCAGCTGCGGTCGCCCTGCTGAAAGTACCATCCAGAGGAGCTCCTCGCTCTCTCAGCACCAACTTTCCCAGTGTTTTCCAAGCTGCCTGCACCTTGTATATATTTTCAATGTCCGGTAAGATCCTCCGTTCCACACGAGGACAACGGCGCCGTTGCGTCGTTCCTCCCGTCGGTTCTGTCAGTTGACCATATTCTAGTTCTTCTACGAGCACAAATCTGGCAGGGTCTTCCATTCGACGAGCTTTTACCAACGCTTGAGCCAGAATGTCTTGTGCTGTGCTAGAGGTGGGTGCCTTCAGAATAGTGTATGGAATCTGAGAAGACACATTGTACACACACACCAGGAAGTTGTCCTCTTCCTCCCAACCTTTGGCTTCTTCATTAAGTTCTCCTTCAACATTTTTCTTTTTCTTTTCTTTAGACGCGGTGCTCATGATGGTGGTGAGCCACGCCCTGGTGCTGGGGTCATCTGAAGTTTTCTTCAGGACAAACTTGCCCTCTCCTTGCCAGTGTGATTGAGCCTCCAGCGGCCTCTCATTCATGTCCAGGATCCGCTGAGTGGTGGGATTATCGCCTCTCTTTTGCCATCCCTTGGCTACTTCCTCAATTAGGATATAATCTTCTATTCTGGCGCCTATTCCAGTTTTTAATACCGCTTTGTTAATGACGTCTCGCGTGGTGCAATCCTGCGTGGCGCTGATCACCGTGTATGGTTCGTCCGGAACTACCCCGTGAATCTTCACAAAGAACTTTCGTCTTTTGAGTGGCACTGTAGGTGTTGTATCATGGTGTTCCACAGCCGATTCCTTTGCCTTTATTGAATCTATAGTAAGGTCTTGACTTGGAGAGAGCTGCTGAATCTCATATTCCTCTTCTTCCATTAGAGTATAAATAAAGAGAGTAGAGACTGGAAGAGGTTGATTTTGTTGATTCCGAAGACGAACGTGGCGATATCCTCGTCTTAAACATCGCAGAGGTAAAATCCGCTGTGCCGTCACATGTCCCGTTGCAGTGTCCGTCACGGTCAGTCGTAAAAATGCAAGATCTTTGAACATGACGCGAATATTAAAAGGGTCATTCCAAATTGGATTGAATGAATTTCTGTGAATAGTTTTTGTTTTGAACTTATTACAATCAACAGGAATACCAAGGATTTCCACCTCCACTTGAGGGCTTCCCTGAAAGTTGTTTTGGCACACGTATTGTCCTGAAATCACTTTCACCTTAAGACTTAATACATGGAGTCCATCAAATTCTTTGTCAAATGGATTAAATCTTCTGTACATCATGTGAGTGTCATCCCACATTACTTTTGGTTTTGGAGTATAACCACACCTTCCATTCTGCTCAAACATAGCATAATTAAGATGTAAGTATGTATCATCTGTCTGATAGTTTAGTGCAGCCATCTGAATGCCAAATGCCCAGAAGTAAAGAGGGTTGAAGTTTGAAGAGTCGATCCGCATGGCGGCAGGATAGGTACGCATGAGTTGGGTTTCCGTGTGCTGTATGGCATCCAGAGGCTGACGACGACACAGGCGTTTGGCGGCATTTTCATTAAGGGACGAACACTGATAACATGGATGAACACCCATTGGTCTCTTGAGGATGGGGGGTTGTAATATAGGTTCTAGGCGACTGGGGTCTGAAGCCATTTGTGTATGCACTAAAATTGGAGTATTCGTAATAATTGGCGGCTGAACTGTACTTTTTCTCCCACCAACTTTCTTTGCTTTTACAGATTCTCTGGGACTAGCAAGGTTGAATCCATGGAACTTTACAGCTTGGCAATAATTGACCAAATCTGAGAGTTCTTTAGCTATCTGGCTGCTTTGTTTATTCTTTTTAGGAGGAATTATTTCATCGTCTATATACTCCTCGCTCTGGGATTTTGGTCGTAAACGACTTCCTTCTGCACTAGACAGGGATTCCGTCCGTGTTCCCATGGACACACTCTTAATGACTGAGCAATGTTTTTCATCTTCAAACAAGCTGTCATGATGTGCAATATCAAATGGATTGTGTTCTGGAATGAAGAAGAAAATTAAAAATTGAAGGGTACAAACAATAAATATAAACAGAGTTTGATATAAAGACTTTAAGTGGTCTCAGAGACATATTGATGTACATAAATCATTATCCAAGGTCAAAAGAACACAAGATTTGCTCACCAGGGGACGACCACCCATGTCACCCGCCCCTTGATCCAGAGCACAGTGAAAGTGGAAAGACATTTATATGTGTTTCCTTTATTATATTGTCACTGTTTTCAATTGTGAAGTTCAGATTGAGATTATAAATGTGTGTGAGATCATGGCCAGTGTATGAGTGGTGCTCAAGCAAGAGGCCTATTACTCTTCACAGATTTCCCCAGCAATAATGGGCAAAAAGGAGATGGTTTACCTCTGCAACACAGGGTAAGACAACAATATTATAACCATATAATGTTTACCAATTGTACCTTACTAATATTATGCAAAAAAATAAATAAAAAAATACTCTGCGAGGACACTTCCCTGAATCCCACACCCTTCCAGCTTAATTCTCAGCCTTTCATGGGGTACTCTGTCGAAAGTCATGGAAAAATCTAAGTATACTGTACAGAATATTGTCGATATTTCTGCCTTGTTCTAGAATTTGAGTAAAAACATTTAGTCAGGGCCGTCCCTAGGAGGATGCGGGGCCCAGGTCAACTCAGCCACTGCATCTAGTACATTGATAGTTGTGTTAAGCAGGATCTTCCCGGCATAAAACAGTGTTGGCAATCCTTTACAAGGTTGTTTCACAGCACAGGTTCCATCATGGCATCTCTTATAATACTCTCTAGCACTTTACATACTATGGTGGTCAGGCTCACTGGTCTATAATTATTCGTGGAGTGACGATCGCCCTTCTTGAATATAAGACTCACATAAGCCATCATCCAGTCATCAGGGACCTTTTGCTCCTCCAGGCATTGCAGAACAAGATCTTAAGGGACTCAGGAAGCTCGTTGCACAGTTCTCTTAACACTCTGGGGTGCACCATAACAGGGCCGGGACTCTTGTGAATCTTTAGCTTTGACATTTTATTTCTTATAACCTCATCCGACAACACAATGTGGGTCAGCTCTGTTTCAAACCGTCTTTTCTCAAACGCAGGAAGATTGTTCGCATTCTCTCTTGTGAACACCAATGAAAAAACAATAATGTTCAATGCCTCCGCCATATCCTGATCAGAATCTGCATAACTACCATCTACAAGCATCTGGTGCAGTATGAATAAATGCATTTTACTGTATAATAAGAAATATAAAAATAAAAATATTCAACTAGTTTTATTTTTTTATTAATATTATTTCTCGTAAACTGCACTTGTTTATAGTAATTCCATCAATGCTCGTTTTAGCCTTAACAAGACCAGATGATCGCACTTCACCTTTTTATAGTCATATGTATAGTGAAGTATAATAAATGATAGTGTGAGCATTAGGCAGAAGGTAAGATCATCAAGCCCCTTTCCACCTCAGCAAACCTTATATTCTTCAGACCTTGTTACTGTCAAGAATTACTAAACGAAATAATGCTAAGAACATCACCGTAGAGAACCAGCATTATTAGAACCTTCTTATAATACTCTAAGAACTCTTACCTTCATCATCATAATCATCGTCATCCTCATCTTCATCAGTCTCGGGGTCGTTAAGTGATCCGGTAGAAGCATTGCTGACGAGGGAGTTTGTGCGTCCTGTTGGCCTGTTTGAGAGGCCCTTGATGCTCAACCCTGGAGCCACTTCTGCTACCAACTTCTTATTCTGAGAAGTTCACGAATAATAAAAACCATTAATACACATCGACAGCTTCATACAGTAACTTATGTGTGCGTGTACAGTATCCCATGTATGTACAAGTATCCCATGTGTGTGTACAAGTATCCCATGTGTGTACAAGTATCCCATGTGTGTCCAAGTATCCCATGTGTGTGTACAGTATCCCATGTATGTACAGTATCCCATGTGTGTACAAGTATCCCATGTGTGTGTACAGTATCCCATGTATGTACAGTATCCCATGTGTGTACAAGTATCCCATGTGCGTACAGTATCCCATGTGCGTACAGTATCCCATGTATGTACAGTATCCCATGAAGCCAAAAGCAATGCGAGAGGAGATAAGGATTTGTTAGGTAAGACTGTTATCCATCCAGGTGTTCACTCATGCACCCCAGCCATTAAACCTGCATCAACACAGCGCCACAAGGAGCCACGATTGGAATGTGTAAGACGTTATCGAGATGGACGACAACCTCTGACAACAGGTGGCGAGACGATGTTTTCACTAGTTTCAGGGACAGTGCATCAAATGGTTTATCCACGATGGTATTTTTCCCCTCCTAAGGTACTTTATTCTGAACAAGGTGTCTCACATGATTTACTGTCTGCATAAAACATAAGTAATTTGTCACATTTTCCTTTGATCATTAGGCTCCTGCAGGTAGCCAGAGCATAAGTCTCCAGTGTGACAATCATTAGGCTCCTGCAGGTAGCCAGAGCATAAGTCTACAGTGTGACAATCGGCAGGAAATGGTGAAGCCATAAATGGTGGTCCCAACACTTTTCTTATCATGGAGTTTCCTTGTCAAGTTCTTGGAGAATGTCCACTTTTTTATGGTAAGAATTTTATGTTTTTTTATGCACTACCGTACAAAACAGCGGCACAGCACAGCACTCGTACAATAACTTGTGTTTGTTGTGAAATATGTGAAGATGAGTGTACAGTACAGTACCTAGTTAGAGTCACCAATACTTCCTTAGTAATATAAGACAACCTAAGAAGGATCACCTCATGAAATTTGGAGGGAATTTTGAACCTTAAAACACGTTGGAAAATTGGTAATTTATAAACATTTATTTTCCATTTCCTGACACTGAAGAATAATGAAGTAATGTACTGTAATTACACAATGTGAAGAAAACAGTACAATAAAAGATGACATCTCAAAACTTTGTTCCAAATGTATAATATTAAGTATCTGAAGTTCTGAAGTTAGTTACTTAAAATAGTATACCAGTATGGCTAATAGTGACACGATATTTAGTGGTGATGCTTTATGTGGCTTAACAAAATTAAAAACTTGTAATGATAAGAACAACAGAATGAATTACACAATTACCTTGATCAAGATCCGGTGTTTCAGCTGAGAGGGGCTTGGCAGGTGAACCTCTTCAGAAAAATCCGACTCAAACAAGAACTTTGTCACTAATTTATCCCCAAAGACGTGCATGAAGATCTGGGCCATCCTCGTCTGTTGCAGCAGGGAACAGTGATTCTCAATGGACAGAATGACTGGGTAGGGCGATGTAACAAAGGCGCTGTGGTTGATGGTCTCCACAACGCTTCTGTAAAGGTAAAATGGCTTTAGTTTTAATATATGCTTGAATTACTTGACCTTGATCATCTACAACTTCTTCCAATATCTCAGTAGCAGTCTGTCCCTCTACACTATCTGAAAGAGAGGAGTCTTTTATAAATCTCTAATGTTTTCTCTGTCTTCCAACTTTTACCATCATTTACAAATTCCTTTCCACAACCAGAGATCAATGAGAGGTGTTGGTTACTACCTGTAATGTGTGTGTGTCCCTCACCACTGTGTCTAGGGTTCAGTCTCCAAACCAGGACAATTGTGAGAAAGGTCTTGTCCAGTGTATACAGTATCTCAATTGTCTCTATACATGCTGAATTGTACACCACCTCCACTGTTTACTGAATATACATGCTGAACTGTATACCTACTTTGTCTATACACATGCTGAACTATACACCTACTTTATCGATATACATGCCTATCAATACAATATTTGTATGAGCCACATACTTGGAGATTCAAATAATGTTTTTTTTCTTAATATTTCATATATGTCCACTAAGCTTCTGAGGACTATCATCATCATCATCACTATCATTATCATCATCATCATCATCATCATCATCATCATCATCATCACTCATATAGCTATCTTCCACATGTGTGTGTGTTAGCAGTGATTACAAGATGAGATCCCTCCATGCCACAACCACTCTCAACAAGTCTTGTCACTGAGGTAATTTCTTACAGTCTCCCCTTACTGATCCAACTTAACTCTAAGATCTATCAAAATGGTCATGACGAGAAGAAATGAAAGACTGATCCTCAAATATTCTTTTTAAGTGAATCAGGACTGGTCGACTGTACTACCAAGTTATAGGACCCCACCTGTAACTGAACGATCAGGTTATGGGACCCCACCTGTAACTGAATGACCAGGTTATGGGACCCCACCTGTAACTGAATGACCAGGTTATGGGACCCCACCTGTAACTGAACGACCAGGTTATGGGACCCCACCTGTAACTGAACGACCAGGTTATGGGACCCACCTGTAACTGAACGACCAGGTTATGGGACCCCACCTGTAACTGAATGACCAGGTTATGGGACCCCACCTGTAACTGAACGACCAGGTTATGGGACCCACCTGTAACTGAATGACCAGGTTATGGGACCCCCCTGTAACTGTACTCTTCCCTCTTGCTCAACCTTCATGACAAATTTCTTCTTTGTAAATTAGTATGAAAGATATTTATAATTTTTAAATTCATTAAATCTTTAGTTTCCAGCCATAAGATCAGTGCCTCAGAATTTGGTTATAGATTTACCACCTGTCCAGGACCATACAAGGCTGGGAGAGAACTGTACTTGAGGAATTTTAATTGAGAGAAATAATCACATACAGGTATTGACCATAATGATATGGTTAAGGACCTCCAAAAGCCGTTGTTGTTAAGTGAACGATCGTATAACAGTCAACACCTGCACAAACCACTGCAAGAAAAGGCAGATGTGTCCAGTTTAAATTACTTACCTGAAAGGAATTTTTGTTGTAAAGGTATGGCCGTGATATATCATAGGGGTTCCATCATCACCATCCCAGCAGTCCAGCTCTACGCAACGACATCCAGTCAACAGCACCTACACATACACACACATTGTACATAATATATTAAAACATACAATTCTAATACATTTCTTAATGCAATTATTTCTTTAAGTAAGTTAATTTTACATCTCTCTTAAATAAATTGTACATAATATTAATTTAAACATTAATTAATTATCTGTCAAGTAAACTACAGTACTGTATATCAAAAGTCAATTCTTATCTATATTTTAGGTTGAAATAAACATGAACTCTTTCAGAAGACAAACTGTAATTATGTAATTCATAATATCTGAGAATAAGTGAACTAAAGTACAGTACAATACATAAGATGAAGGCTCTCAGTTTCCTACCTGGCTATATAACTCAACTGAAGATTCCCCTTTTAGTTGATGTCCAGTTAAATAAGTATTGTGTGAAGATGCAATATAATAATTTGATAGAGGCATCGTCATGTCATCATCATCGGGCAGTATACGTTCGTCCAGGAAGGCATAATTATCTTCATCCATCATAAACCTTGCAAAGCCTTCAAACGACATCAACTCCTGTGATCTGTAACAAGAGGTCAGGTGATACTCAGGATATGTATCAGTAGTGAATCTCAGGTTATGTATCAGTAGTGAATCTCAGGTTATGTATCAGAAGTGAATCTTAGGTTATGTATTAGTAGTGAATCTCAGGCTATGTATCAGTAGTGAATCTCAGGCTCTTCACTACTGAATGTTACTTTTAATATTTCATTTAACTAAAGTCACACGATTTTATACAGCAGAAAGAGACCCCCCCCTCACCTCTCCCCCATAGCTAAGACCCAGCTGCATCGACCCCAAACTGAAGCAGCATCGATCCTAAACTGAAGCAGCATTGACCTCAAACTGAAGCAGCATTGACCTCAAACTGAATCAGCATCGACCCCAAACGAAATAAAACTGCTCCAGACGACAGTACTCTCGGAGACTGATTCACATGCCTCAGTACCGGAATAAGTAGCAAACTTTTGTCCGTGTTTGGTCATTAAACAGAGAAGAATTGCATATAAATTATAGATTATTTAAGAAATAGAGTAGAGTGTGTCACATAGTTAGGTCAGGTCAGGTCAGGTCAGGTCAGGTCAGGTCAGGTCAGGTCAGGTTAGATTAGGTTGGCTTGGGTTGGTTAGGTTAGGTTAGGATATACAGAATGTGTCGTATGGTTACCTTAATGAGGGGTCAGGTTCATGGCGATCCAGAAGTACCCGCAGTTCACCGTCAGTACGAATTTCTCCCTGATGTTCCTCAAGAAACCTTTGTAGTTCCAACATTGTAATAACCTATAACAATACAAGGAATAAAATAAATGTAATAATATTGTATGAAGAGGTTCCTTTATGTACAGTCACCCCAAAAAAATCGTGTCGCCTCTCATCCTGAACCACGAACCCCGAGATTCAGACTCTTGAATCCGAAGCATTTATGGACAGACTAATGTATCAGTGTCTTCTGCTTCGGGTTCATGAGTCTGAATCTCGGGGTTCGTGGTTCAGGATGAGAGGTGACACGATTTTTTTGGGTGACTCTACTCGCCAATGATTTAATTTTTATTCTAATATACACAAGTAAACTTTCTCTCAGACGGAAGACAAAATTATCTGTAAACTGAATATTTCCAACTGTTACTTCCACAATTTTATGATTTTAATTATGCGACCAAAATGATGGTACAGTTCCAAGCTTGGGGTCATTAGAACTTTGGGTCTAATTGTGTACCCTGTAGCCCATGTCTTAATTGTGTTCTATGTGGCCCATGTCTTAATTGTGTTCTATGTGGCCCATGTCTTAATTGTGCTCTATGTGGTCCATGTCTTAATTGTGTTCTATGTGGTCCATGTCTTAATTGTGAACCCTCTAAACAAGCTCTATACAGTATCTCTTCAGCCACAACACATACAATTATGGGTCACTGCAGCACACAGCAAACAAATGATAATATAATCTCACCTGGCTCTTAGAACTTTCCACACCAGCACAGTTTGTAACAATACTTGCTGCTGCAACGGCATCAAAAATCCTTTTCTTTTGACAATTATTTCTGAAGACTAGAAGATCGAGTGAGGTATTCCTGGTGAGGAGACCAAGCGTGGGTTTAGCAAGAGGAGCTCGGTGAGTAGGACTAGGGGGTGAGGTGGGGCTTGTGGGGTCCTCAAGAGAACTATCCGAAAGACTTTTTCTTGTTACAGCCAGAGTCTTAAACACGTCTCTGAGATCCTTCCGCGCCCGAAGACTAAAAGACTTGTACAGCACCACAAAATCGGTAAAGTCCAATTCAGCACCCTGTGTGATTGACTCGCCCCGGAACCCTCGAGGCGCAGGAGTCACGAACTCTCCGGTACCGCTGGATCGACTGCGCTCTCTGTGGAGTAAATCCGGTGGTTTAGACGACACTCACCAAAATATTTATGTTAAAGTTATTTTTAATTCACAAAACTCTGTTGGAATATGACACCCAGGATAAAGAGCAGGTAGTGTGAAATTATACAGACCTATATCCAATGGCTTGTTGTGGAGGAGACGGCAGACCAGTAGCGAGATCGTAAGAGGCTCTGGGAATTGCCGGAGAATGTATGTGAGGTGCGTGTGTAACCGGACCAATCAAATGTTCAGAGGTAGTGTCACAGGACCGTGAGCGAGGCGGAGAGGGATGAGCAGGAGGAATAATTGTGCGTCGACTGGTCGTTGAGAGCGCTGGGGACGGTGCTACTCTGACCTCATCAGCAATCTTTGTACCATCCTGTTAGTAAAAAAATAAATACATCAGTAATTGTAACTTAGGAAGGTTTTAACTACCTGCTTCTGTGTCGCACCTGTACTATAGTGGTAAAATTATCTATTATTTCAACCATGGTATTAACTCTGTCTTTAAATACAGTACAGTACAGTATGTGTTATTTGTGTAATTATCTTATTTCTTGTTTCTATCAGTGGGGATATATGTCTATTTCCTCTTTATGAGTCAACTTAGTCTGAGCTTATCCTTGTTTCAGGTGTTATTGTTATTAAATGAATATAAACCCAGAGGAAGAAAGTGTTTCATTCTTTACCACAACACCAGACGGCTGTAGTAACTCAGCAAGACTCTCAAACTACAGAAGGTCTTGTGAAAAAACTGACCAATTTAAAGTACTTAGAGGAAGCCTTACTACTTTAATGTTAACTACAGTACATAAATTACCTAAACACTTACTTTTGCAACATTTATAGTTGCTTGAGATTTTAATTTCTTGAGCCTAGTTGAGCCAGAACCTCTCTTGGCTGCCACTGGGTCTTGGGGGGACATACTGCCAGCAGTAGATGTTACCCAGTTTCTCCCACCAAAGATCTATAAAATAAATCAAATTAAGTAGAGTACACACTCTCTCTCTCTCTCTCTCTCTCTCTCTCTCTCTCTCTCTCATATCATCATCATCATCATCATCTTCTACCTGTAGCTAATAATGACTCACCTTAATTGCTTCAGCAGGTTTGGGACCACTACAAGCTTCGTCCTCAAAATAGAGCTTCAAGTATTGTTCTTTTAGCCAATAGAGTCGCTTATCACTGACACTTGCCAGCCGCCTTTGGGCACGAACTAATACCTGTTTGGGTAATATACGTCATTATACCGAAGATCATGAAAACACTAATTAACCTGAGGTTATCTGAAGTACCTTTGTATGTCTTCTTTTAATAGTGATAGTTAGAACCATTTTCATAGTAGTTTGCATCTACATTATGACAGAATCATTCAATATGTACAGTCCGGGTCAAAAGCTGGCTCCCCGTGGAGAAACCGAGTCGCGGGAATGAGTCTCCGAACTGATTTACCCTGACTGTCTCGGGTGTAAATTTAAACCTTATTAGGGGTCGATACTGCTTCAGTTTGGAAGGGAGCGAACTTCTGACTCCTTCAAGAGCTTTCTACAGTCAAACATGTAATAACTTCATAATTATACCAGAAAAACAAAGTATATACAGTACAGTACGGTATATACTCACTTGCAGTCCTTGACACCATAGTTTGGCAACAGAGGGCGGAGCAACCAACACCATGATGCGGTTGTCAGCAAGGTTGGCACCATATATGAGTGTGACACAATGATCCGATGCTTGTGAGTTCTCCAGGAAGTACCTGAATATAAGCCATGTCAATAATTGCCTTTTAAACTTCTGGAAATAAACATATGACTTATTATGGGAGTGATTTACAGACCCCCAAGCAGCTCAGCCCATATGACAGGAAATGAGTAGGGCAGCAAAATATAACAACCTGAGCATTATGGGGGATTTCAACTTCAGAAATATTGACTGGGACAACATTGTAGGTGACTATGAATCTGAAGACTTCCTAGATGCAGTACAGGACAATTTTTTAAACAACTAATTACAGAGCCTACTAGAGGTGACAATATATTAGACCTAGTATTAACAAATAAAGAAAATATTATCAGAGATATCACAGCAGGGGAAGAGCTAGGGAACAGTGATCACAGAGAAATCAGGTTCACCCTAAATTGGGAAACGAAAAACAATGACAATATGGTCAGAGTCCCAGACTTTCGATCGGCGGATTATGAGGGGTTAAGAAGGTACCTTGGTGAGGTCCCCAGTAGGAACGGGTGAGGTCACAGGTGACACAACAATTGATCATGACTATTATATATTCACTAGTATACTACGTAAAGCACAAGAACAAAATATACCATACAGAAAAATTAGGTCAAATAAGAATGAGCCAAGGTGGATGACCAGAAAACTTAAACATGACATAGGAATAAAGAAAGGAATTTATAAGAAATTAAAGGGAGGGGAGGAGCAGCTCAGAAATAGGTATAATGAACTATCTAGGAATGTTAAGAAAAATGTAAGGAAGACAAAGAGGGACTACAAAATCAGGATAGCAAGAGAATCCAAGGCGAATCCCAAGGGATTTTTCCAGGTATATAGGACAAAGGTCAAGGACAAAGTGGGGCCTTTAAAGTCAGAGAGAGGAGAGGTGATTGATGATACTGAGAAAATAAGCAGAGCATTAAACAGCTACTGTACTTCTGGTCAGTTTTCACAGAAGAAATTCACAAGGAAATTCCAGAGGTGGAACTGATATTTAGGGGAAATGAAGAAGAGAAATTAAAGAATATCACTATCAGAAAAGAGGATGTTCTTAAGAAGATAAATAAACTAAAGAAGACAAAATCCCCAGGGCCGGATGAAATTTTCTCTCGAATTTTGAAAGAGTGTAGGGAACAGATTAGCGGACCCCTCGTAAATTTATTTACAAATCATTAGACACGGGAGTTGCGCCAGACTTGTGGAAACAAGCAAATGTAGTACCCATATTAACAAAGGGAGACAAAGCGTCAAATTTCCGGCCGATCAGTTTGACGTCAGTAGTGGGGAAATTTCTTGAATCAATTACAGTATAGCAAATAGCATCCGATCGCATTTAGAGAAAAACAAATTAATCTACGACTCTCAACAAGGGTTTACAAAGGGAAAATCTTGTCTCAAATCTGCTGACTTTTTAAGGAAAGTCTTCGAGGTAGCCTTAATAACTCTTATCATTGTATCATAGCTGGATGATCCTCATACTCGATTACCAGTGACGGCAAAGTAAGTGTTGTATTTGTTGTTGTTGTTATATTTGTTTTTGGTGGTGTTGATGTTGTAATAATATCAATCAGTGGTTACGACCTTGAAGTACAAAACACAAAGTCAGTTTCTATAATAGATAACAGGTTTTTGTTTAAGATTAACTACAATTACGTGAAAGGTTATTCCAACGTACCTTCTGGCAACGGCTGAGAAGTTGGCATCTCGTACACTTGGCTCAACTTCCTTCAGACAGGCGATCTGAATAAAACCTTCTTCAGGAGTACCACCACTTAGCTCTGGAGATGTTGAATACTGTAAAGAACAAATTATAGACTTGGATATTTTATATGTACCACAACAAGTCTCTGCCGGGTGGTGTGATGATTAAAGTGTGGGTGATCTGCCCGTCTGTTTGTACCGGATCACGTGTCCGACCCACCACAGTAGAGGAGACAACCTTTGACCCACATGTTACTTTGCATACCAGGGCGGTCCATACCTTGTAAAGGGAGGTGTTACAACTTAAATATCAAAACGTCAATTACTCCTGATCATAGTTTGCACAAAGAACTTGTTTGTTATGCACATATGAGCAATATATACAGTACTGTACACTGGAAGTTAGAGACATATTGATACAATCATATGTGTGATAGTTAAACATATCAGTTTGTATCAGACAGAACACAGGTATCAGTAGGTGATGCTGGCAGTAGGTAAGTATTATATGATAGGATTGATTAATTGATTGATTGGGTAAAATATCAGGTGTCATAGCCTGTGGCCATTTGACACAGGATAGATCTTTGTTGTAATCTCTTTCAAGTTGTTGGTAATGGATAAATTGTCCCATTGTAGCTGCCAGAAGGCCTGACTGTGAGGAAGATATCTCTGTGATGGAGGGAGCATAAAGGGGCATGACTAGAGGCAGCAGACTTGGTCACCTCGTCAGCCCTCTCATTACCTCGTACTGTATAGACACAAAGACAGGAACCCAAAAGAAATCCATTAGGGGCCAGCTGACAGAGGACCATCGGCCAGATAAAATATCTAAAACGAGAGAGTGGATGGGATTGAAAGATTCCAAAATCACTACAAATAATAAAGCTCCGAACTTTATGCCTGGTGATTTCTTTATGGGTGAGGTGTACAGCAGAGAGCTCTCCAGTATACAGTAAATTGATGTAAAGGTGGGAAGTCCCCCACTGCAGCTAAGCTCAGGGAAGATGGTTCCAAACCCAACACCAGCGTCGGATTGGAGCAAACTGTATGAACATGTACCAAGCCATCATGTCAAGTTACATGTTCCTGGAAATATACCCTGGCCGTCACTTCATTAACATGAGCCTTGCTCTCTGGGAAGTAACGACAGAAGTGCATCTCTGGTAGGTACCAGGAGGCCACTGTTAGCATCTTCACTGGGTGACCGGGAGTTGGGTTGGTGATGATCTGTCAAGCAGCTCCCAGAAACAAAGGCCAAAGGATCGGGGGAATGCATGGGTGACGGGTAAATCTATGGTCCGTGGGTCTCTCAGATATGGCCTCCCATGTTGGAGATCTAGGGCGACGCTGTGCAGTTCTTGGTGCCACAGTGAGCCATTAGGGACTGTTGATGCATATCCAGTGGTGAAGCATATCCACCATAAGACTGAGTACTGGGGAGGATCTAAAGGCCCCTCTGACCAAACGGGTGTTAGTGTAATGGATAGTATCGATGGTCTTTAGCCTGGCTGGTGTGGCTGAAGAGTACCCACGACAGCACTGACCCCACCCTGGGCGTCATGCTCGCAATTTTACCTGGCAATACTTGGTAAAGTAAGGCTGTATGTGATTGGTGGAGCTATTTTCTGCTGTTTCACTATCAGGATAAATATTAAACAAACCAAAGGTGACAATTTTATATTACTGTAATAAATTATTCATCATTATTTTAGACCATGGGAAGTTACCAAATTATTGTATATTTGCTCAACTAATAAAGAAAATTTGATGTGAGAATCTTGTAGCATCTGTTGTTGTTGAGTTGCCAATTCATTAATATAATTTTCTTCATTAGTTGAGCAAATATACAATAATTTGGTAACTTCCCATGGTCTAAAATAATGATGAATAATTTATTACAGTAATATAAAAATGTTACCTTAGGGTGGAGTCAGTGCATCTTTGGTTCACTGTACAGTATTCCCCTAATGCTCCCGGTGTTAAGGTCCGTGTTCCTCTGAAACTCACAGATTACCATGTAAATTACACAAAATAAATCTTAGGGTGTGTGCCAGGGATCAAGAGGAGTCAACACTACAGGAGAGTACAGACCACCATATTTCCCAGGTCATAGAAGGACCCTATAATTAACAAAGTATATTTTAGATGTTTTATTTGTTTTAGATTTAATAGCCAACTGTACTGGTAAAGCCAAATCACTGGCTATATGCTATCATGTTTCTCACTACCACAACTATCACGGCCTTATGTCCTATAGTGTTATTTAATGTTTACTGTATGTGTATTTATGCTATTTCATATTTATTATATTGTCTTATACATACATAATGTTATACATGTACATATAGCTATTTATTTATGTATTTTACACACTCCTGAGACTGGCATGAAAGACTCACAGATTTTGCTCTCTCACGGGGTCCAGTTGACCTAACCCCAGCGAGCTTTAGGGGAATACTGTACAATCTTAAGGTGAAATACTGGATAAGCTGTGAGGGCTCATCTTCAGGCAATCCAGGATATTTTTTATATACTGTATACAGTATTTCTGTTAACAAGTGTAAACATTTAAAAGTTAAGAGACCCGACCCAACAACAGTACTTGATGTTAAAGAATGTTAGTTTTAATATAGGAATAACCTCAGCACACTTCTAGTTCTTCTAAAGCAATACAAGAATGTTAAGAAGTAATTGTTCCTTTTGGGCAAACAACAAAATTAGATCAGAAAATAACTGAAAACATAAATTAGAAAACAAAAGTAATCTATTACCATTAACAAAAGTCCCGGAGAAACACTATCTTCAGGGTTGGCTCCAAGGGTGTAGTCTGGTTGTGAGGAGGAGTGTCCAGCTCTGAGGGCCGACCACGGTGGCCGGCACCACGTGAGTGTACCATTACTGCGCTCTAGTCGCATGTACACCAGACAGTTGCGTCCACTCTCAGGGTCCCAGTGGACTACAGTGGTGCCGTGGTGCAGGATCTATACAAAATGGAAACATACAAAGTTTATACAATAAGATAAAGTCATAATATGAACACTCTACCTATAAGAACATTTATAAACTTACCTCCAAAAACGTTTTTAACTTTATGATAAATACCGGTACTTTTGATACACACCCTTTAGCGTCTCTTCTCCTCAACTCCTTTTGTATGTTGATAATTACTACTTAAGTCTTAAAACAAAGAATAAACTCTCCAACACCTTCCACAATAAACTATAAGTCATACTTTTAACTCTTTAAAGAGTTAAGTATCCTCAGGTGTTTTATTCTCAAACCAGACAATGTTATTCAGGTGAGAGGAGCCGCAGTAAGAGTGAGAAAATCCCCCACACACTGTTAACATTCTCTGGTGGTATAGAGTAGCAGGCACTGTATCTTATTTTGTTAATACCCTTTACTACAGAATCTTCTTATATTGATATGTAGATGTGACTCATGCTAGAAATAATAAGCTTCTCAATAGTGTGTCCTGGGTTAAATCCCCAGGTCAGAAGGGAGTACAGTGTGACCCTCACTACCAAACATGGCAAGCATTCTCCTGGTTCCTCTGCACAAACACTAGACAATGAAGGTCATAATAGAACTCAAATATACATAACAATGAAAGATCAATCCCCTGACAGGTTAGTAAATACTGTAATATCATTTGTAATCCTTCAAGACTAATGTATATGTAATCACAGGAGGCTGGTGTGGGCTCATCACCACACACTCTCCGTGACAGATGATAATTGAGAAACACTCCACCTGCCAATTTTTGCAACAGCCAAATTATACGACATCTGTACATAGCTCACACACCGATACTGCAGTCAAGTTGTAAGAGTATGAAATAATGATATACTGTAGGTGCTAAGACTACCAAGTGTTGTAACTAAATTTATATCCAAGTTTGTATACCTACACTGTCTAGGTACATTGTTTGTATACCTGTACTGTCTAGGCACATTGTTTGTATACCTGTACTGTCTATGAATATTACTTTTATCCTCTTCGCCACTGATCGGCTTGTTAGCCGCTTGGGCGATCGGTATTGTTATATTTTAAATAATAATAATAATAATTATAATAGCGAGTGTTTTGCTCTTTTAAAGCAACAGTTCTTATAAACAGTTCACTAGTGGTCAAAACACTATAAAGTCAAAGAGTTTAATAATAAAAGAAAGTTACAATAATTAACCCCAAGACAAAATAAATTAATATAACAGTGTGTATCCAAGAACTGTTTACCAGCCTAATACAGTACAGTAAATTACGGGTATAAAAGTTGCATCTCTTAACTACTGAATTTATGTTATTTAAAATTAAGTTTCGAGTCAAATTCAAAGCACGATTATGAATAGAATAACAGGACGGAGTTGTTCTTCCTAATAGAATAAAGAGCCAAGATCATCCGTGTAAACTCCTTGTTATTTCCTTGAATGATAACAAAAAACTCAGTTTATGTTTTCTCCTAGTCAACCAGCTCTTAATACCAGAACACAAGGAGTTCATTACCTCCTCAACTTTTTAAGTAACACATAAAGCAGTATAGAGCCTGTATGTGTCTAGTGTATCATACAGAATAGAGCCTGTATGTGTCTAGAACCTTGAAAACTGAGAAGTAATTGACTGATGAGTTATGTAGTACAGTACAGTATATTGGTCTTAACTAATGCAACATCAAGAAAGTAAATATTGAACAAAGTTGTAAAAGTTGCTGACCTGTAGTGTGTGAAGGTCGAGGCCAACTGTGGTCCTGGGCAGAGGAATGAGGGTTACACCGTGATCATTACTGAGCAGCTGTACGGGATGGTAGTCATCTAATTCTCCTCCTCCCACCTCACTACCAGGGCAGCCACTACTCACCATACTGAAGATTGAGATGGAATATTATAGTATTACTGTACACACACACACACACACATACAGAGACAGAAACACACACAGACAGACACACACACAGAAACACACAGATAGACAGACACAGACACACACACAGAGAGACAGACACTCACACACACACTACTACTTTGCTGTCACTGGTAATCGAGGCTGACGATCATCCAGCTATGATACAATGATATGAGTTATTAAGGATGTCACCTACAGTAGGTTGGTGAGTTCTGAGGTGACTTAAGAGGCCGATACGGGACCGGCAGAGTCGTCCACAGATGTTGCACGTGTGGGGGGCTACATCTAGTGCGGGAGGGGCGGCGGCAGCGTCTTTCCGGCAATGGCGCTTGTCTGCCTCGGTTTACAGTTGGGCTAACTCAAAAGTATTGACACCTTCTCGTGTGGTGCTCCTCCAAGCATTATGGTGTGCAGTAATCGTCTCCCAGGTGAGGGGGTCCATTTGACACTTTTTCAGGTTTGTCTTAAGACTATCCTTATACCTTTTCAGTTGCCCGCCAGCATTACGTTTACTATTCGTTAGGTGACTGTAAAGTAGCTGCTTTGGCAGTCTACTGTCGTCCATGTGGGTAACATGGCCAGTCCAGCGTAGTTGTTCATGGATAATGGTAGTCTCGATGCTCCTACAGTTGGTGTCAGCAAGAATACTGGCATTTGTTCTCTTGTCTTCCCAGTGAACCCAGAGGCTGGAACGTAGACTACGTTGGTGAAAGTTTTAAAGTGCCATGAGGTGCCTCCTGTATGTGACCCATGTCTCGCTGCCATATAGCAGGGTGGGGAGGACCACTGCTCGATATATGTGTAACTCTGTAGATAATTTCAGCTCCCTACAGCTGAAGACACAGGTACGGAGTCTACCAAAGGCTTAAGATGTACATCTGATCCTGTGCTGAATCTCTTCATCAATGTCCCCGGTGATGGACAGGTGGGAGCTGAGATACTGAAAGTGGGTAACATTAGAGAGGGTAGTACTGTTAAGCTGGATGGGTGGTGGAGGTGTGGCTGAACCAGGGGCAGGTGGAAAGAGAATCTGAGTCTCACATACATTCACCTCAAGGCCGAAGTGTGCATATGCATCTGTGTAGGTGTTCAGGATCTCCTGTAGGTCGTGTTCAGTGTGAGCAACAAGGGTGAGGTCGTCTGCACACTGAAGTTCAGTAATGGAAGCTGCCGACACTTTGTTCCTGCCTGGAGTCGTCTTATGTCCACCCCCCGGTTAAATTGGCACTGGCACGAGTAAGGAAGGCAGCCAAAAATGGAAAAGAGAGTTGGTGCCAGTACACATCTTTGTTTAACCCCTGTTTGGATGGGGAAGAACTCAGACTGGGTGCCATTGTGCAGGACACTGCTGTTCATGCCATCGTGGAGTTGCCTCACAATGGCGATGAATTTTGGTGGGCAGCCAAAACGGCTGAGGGTCCACCAGAGGGCTTCAGTGCTGACCGAGTCGAAGGCCTTGGTTAGGTCGATGAAAGCCATATACAGGTCACGATGCTGTTCTCTGCACTTTTCCTGTATCTGGCGGGCAGCAAAGATTATGTCAGTGGTGCCACGTGATGGTCTAAAGGCACATTGAGATTTTGGGAGAAAGTTTTCCTCCTCAGGAAGAAGTCTGTCTAGGAGGACTCGGGCGATAATCTTGCCAGCTACAGACAGCAGTGAGATCCCACGGTAGTTGCCACAGTCTGACCGGTCTCCCTTGTTCTTATAAATATTCCCACATATTCTTCAGGAGAGAGTGGAGACGGCTGGTAAGCAGAGGTCCTCCTACTTTATACACCTCGGCTGGGATATCATCAGGCCCTGAGGCTTTGTTATTTTTCATCTGTTTGATGGCAGTAGCTACCTCATGCAGGGATGGAGGATAGCTGAGGTGGGTCAGCTCTGGATGCTGAGAGTCCTGCTGGGTAGTAAGAATGTTCACATCGGTGTTTCAGTTGAGCAGCTAATGGTAGTGCTCTTTCCAGCACTGACGAATGCCTTCTTCGTCTTTAATTAGGGAGTTACCATCGGATGAGTGGAGGGGGGCTGTGCCATGAGTGATTGGCCTCTAAAAATTTTAATGGAATTAAAAAATTCGCACATCTTGTGTTGATCTGCAAGTTTTTGCATTTCACATGCTTTATTTTTAAACCAGTCGTTCTTTAGTTTGCAAAGTTCCCGCTGGGCCGCCACTGTCTTCTTGCAGGACGTATCAGCTTTGGCCTGAGACTGAGGGTTGTTCTGCCAGTCAGTTGAAGCAGAATGATAATTATCAATGAGTACATTGATTTCCAGGTCATTTTCATCAAACCAGTCCTGGTGTATTGTTTCGATCTGGCCGAGGGTCTCTGCAGATTTTTGTCATGACGGTGTCAAGAATATCCCATTCGTCGCTGGGATTTGGGTTGTTTGTTGTCGGGTTGTTTATCAGCCCATGTTCGAGATGCTCTCTGAAAGCATGTGCTACCGCTGGATCCTACAGATGCTTAGTGATAAAACCTCTTCTGGAGGCTTGCTGCCTTTGCCGTTTTGGGGATACACGAAGTGAGAGCTTAGCTCTGACGAGCCAATGATCAGTGTCGCCGTGGTCTGAGCCTCGCAAGGCACAGGTGAAGAGGGCATCTCGGCGATCTCTTTGTCTTGCAATAATGAAGTCAATGAGATGCCAATGTTTGGATCGTGGGTGTTGCCATGAACCCTTGAACTTGTCGGCCTGCCTGAACAAGGTATTGGTTATAGTGAGGTTGTGAGCAGCACACTTGCTGAGGATTGATTTTGAATTTGCGGCTTACAGCGGCTACTTTATTGTGCACCCCACACTCATCCTGTGAGCGGTAGCGCAAAAGGAGGAGTAGGTCGTTGGGATTACACTTGCCTAGTCCATTTCTCCCTATTCTTCCCTGCCAAATGTTAGCATCTCTGCCAACTCTGGCATTGAAGTCACGAAAGAGCAGAACCTTTTCTTCTCTGGGAATAGAGGTTAGCACTCTGTTGAAGTCGGCATAAAGGCCTCCTTGATGTCATCCTCTGCATATAGAGGATGAAGTGGGTGATTCAGTGGGACTCTAACGTCATGAGGCGCTCGTTGATCCCAATAGGCATTTCAGTTAGCCTGTGTAGGATGCGTTGGTGGATGGCAAAGCCAACTCCATAAATGCGGTTTCTCTCTGCAGCAGGCTTATCCTTCCAGAAGAAGGTGTAGCCAGACCCCGGTTCTGTGAATTGACCCTCATCTGGGAGCCGGGACTCACCAATGGCTGCTAAGTCGATGTTATACCTAGCCAGCTCTTTTACCACAAGGGCAGTTCTTCTTTCAGGACGCCCAATTTTGCCAGTATCCAAAAGGGTCCTGACATTCCATGCAGCGACCAAAAGAGGTTGTATAGTTTGTTTTTGTTTGGATCTGTGATTGTAATTGTGTTTATGATCGAGTGCGGTTGCCCAGTCAGGTTGGTTCTTTAGGCAGGCTATGTTTAGGGCACCTTTTCTAGCCCCTCCCCATGTGGGGTGAGCAGAGTGGCTCCTCGTAAGGGCTGCTCAGTCACACAGACAGGACCGGATTGTACTGCTGCCTAGATCTCAGTTCATAAACGACCACCTTATCTGTGCCGCCCATGTACAGAGTTGTGACTAGAGATTCTCGGCAGTTATCTCTGCCTGTCCGCGTCGCCACTTGTCCGTCACCATAGGACTTATGGAGTACACACACACACACACACACACACACACACACACACACACACACACACACACATAGTACACATATAGATAGATATATTACAGGTCTTTATCTACTGACCTGAGAGACTCCTTCAGAACAGCTTGTGCCTCGTAGTTTGATCGAGCAACATAATGCTGATGAAATGTTGCTATTCTCTCCACCACCACCTGAGCCTCATACACCTTGTTCATGTTGATGAGACCGCCAGGACCTATACGCGTGAAGAAGCTGTCCTCTCCACAGTAGTCTGATATAAACTGCAAATAGATAGGTACTGTACACGTTGTCTTATACGAGTTAAACTTACAGTAAACCAGTATAATACTCTACTGTACTGACCTGTTATAGTGTAGTCCTGAGGATGATACTCAAAAAGGCCCTATAATCCCAGTTTACCGCACCTCCCCCCCCGCCATCATAGGTTTCTTGATTTACTTTATTTTCTTTACCGAACTATGAGATGATAACTTCAAAACAATACCCCTCCTAAAAAGTGCCTGATTGATCCTTATTTGAGAAATTTCAATACATGCTATGTGGCTGTACTGCTAAATTAAGGTGAACTGGTAACACAGAGATAGGGTTCCAAATTTACCCTAGTGGTGATGGTAATATAGTTTTATGATAGTTAATATTGAAGTGAGAATCATTTAGTCCAACTGAAAATTATAGACATATAATGAGATTCCGATTTGCAGGAAGGCCTTGAATTTTTTTTCCCCCTTTAGTGCTATACTCTGGCATACCTTCAGGCTATCAGATATCGTATAGGAATTACGTTCTAGTTCTCGCTGCAGAGAATACCGCCGCATGCTTGACCATGAACACCTGGTCGCCTGAGTGGGTGTGATGAATGGCTGTTTAACTCTCGTGTACTAGCTTATTATGATGGATCTTACTTCACATGCAGTACAGACAGAGTAGTATTGAATCAATCAGTTAATATACGAATATAAGCCATAGGTGTTGTTTTTAGAGATTACATTAGTCACAAAGCTCACAATCACTGGATATGTTAAGTGTGTGAGACAGAGTGAAGCAACTGAGGCTAGATCACATTTTTATGATACCTCGTGTCTCCAGTCAACTGAAAAGCACACTTTCTTCTTTACTGCTACAGCAGACTGGGGCAAGTTATCTGATCACATTAAAAGCAGTAATGGTAGAAGACAATTTAAGGTTAAAACCAAACAATACATAACAAATGATGCTACAGCAAGAGTCTGGTTACTAACTATAAAATGGTGTATTGTTGGAGTGAACTATCAGCCTCGGAGAGTGTAAATGCAATGAAATAATTGTTATATTTATAAAAAAACAATCACTTATAGAGTTACTATTACTACTGTAAATAGACATCTGATGTCCCCCCTATCAGCTGTCCTTGGTCTAGCTGCACCATCTTGATACAGTGGTTGTATACCTGCACTCTCTTTGTACACTACACATCTGTACAATCTATAAACATACTGAGTCAGTTGTTTACTTTTCCCACATTAATACGACTAAACACGCGTCTTACCTCAACCTCTTGTCCATCTTCGGCCAAGACAACGAGTGACGGAGTTGACTGGAGAATCTTGGTCAGGTCCCTCAGGAAGGAGCCAAAGAAGGGAACAACGCGACACTCCGGCAGCATCAGTGCTCGGTCTAAGGCGGCTTCATACTCCGCCACACTCTCTCCCAGTAGTACACCAGTCAGGAAGTCCAACACAGGCAGGTGCTCATTTTCTAAGCTTAGCCAGAATGGTTTAAGCTTCTCTGACCTGTAAGTTAATTGGAAATGAAAATCTTACACAGTACAGTAGTTCTGCATTCTCCAACCTTAATCTGATTCTACTGTCTGTACACCTTTTGTACTTCACAACCTGCATCAAACACTACAGTTGAGCTTAAATCTCCACTCTGCAACACTAAATATATGACAGGATTCATTTACAAAAATTAATAGGGTATAATACACATTTGCCCAGTATGTAAATGTTTAAGGGGAAACTGTGTTAAGTTAGCCTTACAGTGGGTGGTGGGTGGGGGGTGGACCTCACTCTTGACAGCCTCATGAACGACGGCCCATCTAGGTGTGTGGGTGATTCATCTCAATTTCAGTTCGTTGTCAACATAACCACTTAGTTCATCTTTAACTCAATGGTAAACATGACAGAACTCTTTACAACCTACCCCTTCTACACCTCCTGTCATCTGTGTGAATGTGTCCATAAGTGTTAAACAATACAGTCACTACCATGATAGTACTCTCCAGCGAACAAGACACAATCATTTACTTACTTCAGCCCAGTAATGATCTCCATCGCCCCGTTAAAGTTGGCCAGGTTCCAGCAAGACAGAGCGACTCTCAGTATACAGGAGAGTACTGCTTTTCTATCCTCGTGCGTCGGCTGGGATACTATGACGTGGGTAATCCAAGATGATACCTGTTGAATGTTTGGTCGTGTTAATTTGATCGAGTGATGATTTTCAAGGGGTAAAATAAGGGTCATTAAGGAAGATTTAGACCCCTTCCCTCATCCCCCCCTCCCCCATCCCCTCCTCCCTCTCCCCTGCATAAATCTGTACAGAGTTAGTGTACTGTATAAGGCTCCAGGTTGTGTGAGCGGGTACAGAGTGCTGAAAAAAATGATGTTAACTGCTATAGTTTTCTTTAATATTTCAGGAGACACATTTACAGTTTTATGGAAGAGTTTAATGTTTAAGCACTAAGAATACTGGCCACACGTTGTCCTCTGTGTAAAAGTGTCGTATAGAAACAAACTTGTTACAGAAACATTATGTACTGTATTTTTAACCGCCCGGTGAGTGACCGTGGGATAATGAGACCCTTGCACCACGTAGGACTCGATTGTTCTTTATTTGGACAAACCTGCAGAGTACAAATTACATATGATAAGTATAAGATAATTAATTCACTCGTACGTTCCTTCACTATTAACAACTACATATAATATATTTGAGTAGAGTGGCAGTGTTAAACCATATAAAAACTTAGGTGTTTCAGGTCTAATGTAGGACTTATTAGCTCCTTGACTTGTCAGCTCACTGGACGGCTAGAGACTATCTTCTGAACTACACAGGGAGCGAGTTAGTCAGCCAGAGGCGAGGGCCATCTGTTTCACATTCAACACCTGAGCAAAGTTCGTTGTCAACACTCCCTCCCTCTCTCTCTTTCTCTCCCTCCCTTCTAGTTTATCCTACTGTGGCGGTAACAGTATTCATTATTGCTCTCAGCCCTTCTTATTTTATTTTTTCAAACATTCGGTGCAGCAAATAACAGCTCTGATGAATCTATTTCTAGTGTCACTTCAAATTAAACTGATATATGAGACACCTCTTCGGACAGATGTAGGTACAGGTGTAGGTACAGGTGTAAGTACAGATACAGGTGTAGGTGTAGGTACAGGTGTAAGTACAGATACAGGTGTAGGTGTAGGTACAGATACAGGTGTAGGTACAGGTACAGGCTCTTTCTAGGTATAATATTATCCTACTAAAGAGAGGTTATGCAGTCATGTTATTACAATTTGTTAACTTATGCGACGTTTATAGTTGATAAATTGGTATTACTTGTCAAACTGAACACACACACACACACATATCTTACCTCCTTGAACCTCTTCGTCAGGTGGGCCACAGCGACGGTGGTAGAGGCGGAGAAGTGTTGGCCGCGAGGATAAGGTCGCAGGTCGCTGGTCACATGACGGACGTAGGCGATGGGAGGCACTCGGTAATACAGCTCGTACTCCACCTTGGTCAACTTGAGTGCCACCTCCTCAGGGAAGTGTAGGAGCTTCTGAAGACCCTCCAGCTCATCGGAGTACAACATGCCCATCCCTACTCCATGACGAATCAACTCTGTACCTGAGAACACCAGTGGAGTGTCAAGTGGGCCCCAGCATTACCATGAACCCAACCTAACCTAACCCAACTTAACCTAACCTAACCCAACCTAACCTAACCCAACCCAACCTAACCCAACCTAACCTAACCATACCCAACAGCAGCGCTACATCACATTAAAAGAATTTCTCTCACTGTTGCTTGAGGAGACAATTTAACATAAGATTCAAACACATTACTTTTATTTTCATACTTAAACGAAGGATTTGTATTGGCAGGATGTTTTCTAACCTGTCCTGTGGGATGTTAGCTGTCCTTGTTGTGGGGTGGTGAAGGGTAAAGGATCCTCACTCTGTAGGATGGACCAGAGGGCACGTCCCAGGTCCGTCAGACTAGCAGTGGACCCAACGCTGAAGGTCCACTTGGTCCCTCGGAACTCCAGCACCAGACGATCATGGGAACGACCACCACCTGTCCTCCACTGTAAATAGAAACATTATTAGAGCTACAGGTACAGGTGTGGGTACAGGTGTAGGTACAGGTGTGGGTACACGTGTAGGTACAGTTGTGGGTACAGGTGTAGGTACAGGTGTAGGTACAGGTGTGGGTACACGTGTAGGTACAGTTGTGGGTACAGGTGTGGGTACAGGTGTAGGTACAGGTGTGGGTACAGGTGTGGGTACAGGTGTGGGTACACGTGTGGGTACAGGTGTAGGTACAGGTGTGGGTACAGGGGTGGGTACACGTGTAGGTACAGGTGTGGGTACAGGTGTGGGTACAGGTGTGTGGGGTACAGGTGTGGGGTGCAGGTGTGGGTACAGGTGTAGGTGCAGGTGTGGGGTACAGGTGTAGGTACACAGGTGTGGGTACAGGTGTGGGTGCAGGTGTGGGTACACGTAGGTACAGGTGTGGGTACAGGTGTGGGTGCAGTGTGTTAATGTGTAGGTACAGGTAGGGGTACAGGTGTAGGTACAGGTGCAGGTACAGGTGTAGGTACAGGTGTGGGGTGCAGGTGTGGGGTACAGGTGGGGCACAGTTGTGGGGTACAGGTGGGGTACAGGTGGGTACAGGTGTGGGTACAGGTGTGGGGTACAGGTGTAGGTACAGGTGCAGGTACAGGTGTGGGTACACGTGTAGGTACAGGTATGGGGTACAGGTGTAGGTACAGGCAGGTACAGGTGTAGGTACAGGTGTAGGTACAGGCAGGTACAGGTGCAGGTACAGGTGTAGGTACAGGTGTAGGTCCAGGTGCAGGTACAGGTGTAGGTACAGGTGTAGGTACAGGTGCAGGTACAGGTGTGTGGGTACAGGTAGGTACAGGTGTAGGTACAGGGAAGGTGCAGGGCACAGGTGTAGGTACAGGTGCAGGTACAGGTGTGCAGTAGGTACAGGTGTGGGGTACAGGTGTGGGGTACAGGTGTAGGTACAGTGGGGTACAGGTGTAGGTACAGGTGTAGGTACAGGAGTGGGTACAGGTGCAGGTACAGGTGTGGGTACAGGTGTAGGTACAGGTGTGGGTGCAGGTACAGGTGTAGGTACAGGTGTAGGTACAGGAGTGGGTGCAGGTACAGGTGTAGGTACAGGAGTGGGTGCAGGTACAGGAGTGGGTACAGGTGCAGGTACAGGTGTAGGTACAGGTACTGATCATCACATACACTATAACAAAATGCTGTAAAGGAAGACTCACCTGAAGGAGGTAAGACTCACCTGAAGGAGGTAAGACTCACCTGACGGAGGTAAGACTCACCTGAAGGAGGTCGTGGGTGTTCTGAGCCTTGGCCAGAATCTTGGTCTTGGTGTCCAGGAGAACGATGTTGTTACTGCCGATACCAAGGAGTCGGGACGCCTGCCAAAGGAATCTTTAGTTAAGTTAGGTTAGGTTAGGTTAAGTAAGGGCATCTTAAGTCATGTTAGGTTACTGTTAAGTTAGGTTAGGTCATCTTAGGTTAGTGTTAGGTTAAGTTTGTGTAAGAGTATTTAATATTAAGATAAATTAAACTAGGGGCTACCTGTCAAGACATCCAAATATCAAATAATAAATAAATAAATAACCTGACCTAACCTGAGATGCTTAACCTAACCTGACCTAACCTAACCTGAGATGCCTTATCCTAACCTGATCTGACCTAACTCATTCTTAGGACTAAATGACACTTTAACTGTACCCCTTGGCCACTTCACATCATGGCCATCAAACGCCCTGGCCATCTGACACCATAGCCATCTAACATCCTGGCCACCTTAGACCCTGGCCACCATACACCCTGGCCACCATACACCCTGGCCACCTTAGACCCTGGCCACCATACACCCTGGCCACGTTACACCCTGGCCACGTTACACCCTGGCCACGTTACACCCTGGCCACCACAATAACTAACCTTCTTACTGGTCTTGCCTCGAAGTAGTTCCTTCACGTGGTGTAGGTTGCAGGCGAAGGAAGGAAGCCGTCTCACAGTCTGGATGTAAAGCTTCTTGAGGGCCACGTCTGAGTCGTATAGAGGCGTGTGAAACAACTTCCTTTTCTGTTCCTGTGTGTGAGAGAGAGAGAGAGAGAGGGAGTTAGTTTATTGAGAGAGAGAGAGAGAGTTTGTGTGTTTACATAGTGAGAATCGCCGTCAGGTGATTATTTAAGCAAAGAGAGAATCAATCAGGTAGCTAAATATCGTGTAAAAAATGAAAAGAATTTAGTGTTCATGGTCTGCCATGGTCTGAGGTGTACATCTGCCACGGTCTGAGGTGACCATCTGCCACGGTCTGAGGTGTACACATGCCACGGTCTGAGGTGTACACATGCCACGGTCTGAGGTGTACATCTGCCACGGTCTGAGGTGTACATCTGCCATGGTCTGAGGTGTACTACACCTGCCACGGTCTGAGGTGTACATCTGCCACGGTCTGAGGTGTACATCTGCCACGGTCTGAGGGTGTACATCTGCCACGGTCTGAGGTGTACATCTGCCACGGTCTGAGGTGTACATCTGCCACGGTCTGAGGTGTACATCTGCCACGGTCTGAGGTGTACATCTGCCATGGTCTGAGGTGTACTACACCTGCCACGGTCTGGAGGTGTACATCTGCCACGGTCTGAAGTGTACACATGCCACGGTTCGAGGTGTGTACACTTGCCACGGTCTGAGGTGTACATCTGCCACGGTCTGAGGTGTACATCTGCCACGGTCTGAGGTGTACATCTGCCACGGTCTGAGGTGTACATCTGCCATGGTCTGAGGTGTACTACACCTGCCACGGTCTGAGGTGTACATCTGCCACGGTCTGAGGTGTACATCTGCCACGGTCTGAGGTGTGTACATCTGCCACGGTCTGAGGTGTACACATGCCACGGTCTGAGGTGTACACTTGCCACGGTCTGAGGTGTACATCTGCCACGGTCTGAGGTGCATCTGCCACGGTCTGAGGTGTACATCTGCCACGGTCTGAGGTGTACATCTGCCACGGTCTGAGGTGTACATCTGCCACGGTCTGAGGTGTACATCTGCCATGGTCTGAGGTGTACTACACCTGCCACGGTCTGAGGTGTACATCTGCCACGGTCTGAGGTGTACATCTGCCACGGTCTGAGGTGTACATCTGCCACGGTCTGAGGTGTACATCTGCCACGGTCTGAGGTGTACATCTGCCACGGTCTGAGGTGTACACTTGCCACGGTCTGAGGTGTACATCTGCCACGGTCTGAGGTGTACATCTGCCATGGTCTGAGGTGTACACTTGCCACGGTCTGAGTGTACACTTGCCACGGTCTGAGGTGTACTACACCTGCCACGGTCTGAGGTGTACATCTGCCATGGTCTGAGGTGTACTACACCTGCCACGGTCTGAGGTGTACATCTGCCACGGTCTGGGTGTACATCTGCCACGGTCTGAGGTGTACACTTGCCACGGTCTGAGGGTGTACACTTGCCACGGTCTGAGGTGTACTACACCTGCCACGGTCTGAGGTGTACATCTGCCATGGTCTGAGGTGTACTACACCTGCCACGGTCTGAGGTGTACATCTGCCACGGTCTGAGGTGTACACATGCCACGGTCTGAGGGTGTACATCTGCCACGGTCTGAGGTGTACATCTGCCACGGTCTGAGGTGTATCACATGCCACGGTCTGAGGTGTACACCTGCCACGGTCTGAGGTGTACACTTGCCACGGTCTGAGGTGTACACATGCCACGGTCTGAGGTGTACACTTGCCACGGTCTGAGGTGTACAATAAACTAGGCACATAGGAATCTCGGTGTCATTTGGTCTTGTAACTGGTGGTACTTAGTGAAGGTAATTTAGTTAAGGGAGAGACTCAGTGTTACTCAGGGAGGTTAATGAGGGAGGAGCGGTGAAAGGGTGAGGCAAGGGAGAGGTGAGGTGAAGATAGAGGAAGGACACTGTGACACCGTGCCAACACACCACACACTGTGACACCATCTGACACGCCAACACCACACACTGTGACACCATCTGACACCGTGCCAACACACCACACACTGTGACACCATCTGACACCGTGCCAACACACCACACACTGTGACACCATCTGACACCGTGCCAACACACCACACACCTGACACCATCTGACACCGTGCCAACACACCACACACACTGTGACACCATCTGACACCGTGCCAACACACCACACACTGTGACACCATCTGACACCGTGCCAACACACCACACACTGTGACACCATCTGACACCGTGCCAACACACCACACACTGTGACACCACCTGACACCGCCAACACACCACACACTGTGACACCGTCTGACACCATGCCAACACACCACACACACTGTGACACCACCTGACACCGTGCCAACACACCACACACTGTGACACCATCTGACACCGTGCCAACACACCACACACTGTGACACCACCTGACACCGTGCCACCACACCACACACTGACACCATCTGACACCGTGCCAACACACCACACACACTGTGACACCACCTGACACCGTGCCAACACACCACACACACTGTGACACCACCTGACACCGTGCCAACACACCACACACTGTGACACCACCTGACACCGTGCCAACACACACCACACACTGTGACACCACCTGACACCGTGCCAACACACCACACACTGTGACACCATCTGACACCATGCCAACACACCACACTGTGACACCACCTGACACCGTGCCAACACACAACACATGTGACACCACCTGACACCGTGCCAACACACAACACACTGTGACACCATCTGACACCGTGCCAACACACCACACACTGTGACACCATCTGACACCGTGCCAACACACCACACACTGTGACACCATCTGACACCGTGCCAACACACCACACACTGTGACACCATCTGACACCGTGCCAACACACAACACACTGTGACACCACCTGACACCGTGCCAACACACCACACACTGTAACACCGTCTGACACCGTACACACCACACACTGTGACACCATCTGACACCGTGCCAACACACCACACACTGTGACACCATCTGACACCGTGCCAACACACCACACACTGTGACACCACCTGACACCGTGCCAACACACCAACACACTGTGACACCACCTGACACCGTGCCAACACACACACCTCAGACACCACCTGACACCGTGCCAACACACCACACACTGTGACACCACCTGACACCGTGCCAACACACCACACACTGTGACACCATCTGACACCGTGCCAAACACACCACACACTGTGACACCACCTGACACCGTGCCAACACACCACACACTGACACCACCTGACACCGTGCCAACACACCACACACTGTGACACCATCTGACACCGTGCCAAACACACCACACACTGTGACACCACCTGACACCGTGCCAACACACCACACACTGTGACACCACCTGACACCGTGCCAACACACACCACACACTGTGACACCATCTGACACCGTGCCAACACACCACACACACTGTGACACCATCTGACACCGTGCCAACACACCACACACTGACACCACCTGACACCGTGCCAACACACCACACACGTGACACCATCTGACACCGTGCCAACACACCCACACACTGTGACACCACCTGACACCGTGCCAACACACCACACACTGTGACACCACCGACACCGTGCCAACACACCACACACTGTGACACCATCTGACACCGTGCCAACACACCACACACTGTGACACCATCTGACACCGTGCCAACACACCACACACTAGACACCATCTGACACCGTGCCAACACACCACACACTGTGACACCATCTGACACCGTGCCAACACACCACACTGTGACACCACCTGACACCGTGCCAACACACACACACTGTGACACCATCTGACACCGTGCCAACACACCACACACTGTGACACCATCTGACACCGTGCCAACACACCACACACTGTGACACCACCTGACACCGTGCCAACACACCACACTGTGACACCATCTGACACCGTGCCAACACACCACACACTGTGACACACTGACACCGTGCCAACACACCACACACTGTGACACCATCTGACACCGTGCCAACACACACCACACACTGTGACACCATCTGACACCGTGCCAACACACCACACACACTGACACCACCTGACACCGTGCCAACACACACACACTGTGACACCATCTGACACCGTGCCAGCACACACACACTGTGACACCATCTGACACCATGCCAACACACCACACACTGTGACACCACCTGACACCGTGCCAACACACCACACACTGTGACACCATCTGACACCGTGCCAACACACCACACACTGTGACACCACTGACACCGTGCCAACACACCACACACTGTGACACCATCTGACACCGTGCCAACACATCACACCTGCACCACCTGACACCGTGCCAACACACCACACTGTGACACCATCTGACACCGTGCCAACACACCACACACTGTGACACCACCTGACACCGTGCCCACACCACCACACCACACACCACACTGTGACACCACCTGACACCGTGCCAACACACACACTGTGACACCACCTGACACCGTGCCAACACACCCACACTGTGACACCATCTGACACCGTGCCAACACACCACACACTGTGACACCACCTGACACCGTGCCAACACACCACACACTGTGACACCATCTGACACCGTGCCAACACACCACACACACTGTGACACCACCTGACACCGTGCCAACACACCACACACACTGTGACACCACCTGACACCGTGCCAACACACCACACACTGTGACACCACCTGACACCGTGCCAACACACCACACACTGTGACACCACCTGACACCGTGCCAACACACCACACACTGTGACACCACCTGACACCGTGCCAACACAACACACTGTGACACCATCTGACACCATGCCAACACACCACACTGTGACACCACCTGACACCGTGCCAACACACCACACACTGTGACACCATCTGACACCGTGCCAACACAACCACACCTGTGACACCACCTGACACCGTGCCAACACACCACACACTGTGACACCATCTGACACCGTGCCAACACACCACACACTGTGACACCATCTGACACCGTGCCAACACACCACACACTGTGACACCTGACACCGTGCCAACACACCACAGTGTGACACCATCTGACACCGTGCAACACATCACCTGTAACACCATCTGACACCGTGCCAACACACCACACACTGTGACACCATCTGACACCGTGCCACACACCACACTGTGACACCATCTGACACCGTGCCAACACACCACACACTGTGACACCACCTGACACCGTGCCAACACACCACACACTGTGACACCATCTGACACCGTGCCAACACACCACCGACACCTCTGACACCGTGCCAACACCACTGTGACACCACCTGACACCGTGCCAACACACACACACTGTGACACCACCTGACACCGTGCCACACCCACACACACTGTGACACCATCTGACACCGTGCAACACACCACACACTGTAAGATAACTCCACGGTAAGATAACTCACACGGTAAGATAACTCACACGGTAAGATAACTCACACTGTAAGATAACTCACACACGTAAACCTCGTAGATAACTCGCACACGGTAAGATAACTCACACACGGTAAGATAACTCACATGATAACTCACACGGTAAGATAACTCACACACGGTAAGATAACTCGCACACGGTGAATCACACACGGTAAGATAACTCGCACACGGTAAGATAACTCGCACACGGTAAGATAACTCACACACTGTAAGATAACTCACCGGTAGATAACTCGCACACGGTAAGATAACTCACACACGGTAAGATAACTCACACACGGTGAATAACTCGCACGGTAAGATAACTCACACGGTAAGATAACTCACACACGGTAAATAACTCACACACGGTAGATAACTCGCACAGTAAGATAACTCACACACGGTAAGATAACACACGGTAAGATAACTCGCACACGGTAAGATAACTCCACACGGTAATAACTCCACGATAGATAACTCACACAGTAAGATAACTCACACACTGTAAGATAACTCGTACACGGTAAGATAACTCGCACACGGTAATATAACTCGCACACGGTAAGATAACTCGCACACGGTAAGATAACTCGCACACGGTAATATAACTCACACACGGTAAGATAACCCGCACACGGTAAGATAACTCACACACGGTAAGATAACTCACACACGGTAAGATAACTCACACACGGTAAGATAACTCACACACGGTAAGATAAATCTACACACTGTAAGATAACTCACACACGGTAAGATAACCACACACGGTAAGATAACCTCACACACTGTAAGATAACTCACACACGGTAAGATAACTCACACACGGTAAGATAACTCACACACGGTAAGATACCGCACACGGTAAGATAACTCACACACGGTAAGATAACTCACACACGGTAAGATAACTCGCACACGTAAGATAATCGCACACGGTAAGATAACTCGCACACGGTAAGATAACTCGTACACGGTAAGATAACCTCGCACACGGTAAGATAACTCACACACTGTAAGATAACTCGTACACGGTAAGATAACTCACACGGTAGATAACACACAAGATAACCGTCACGGTAAGATAACTCGCACACGTAATAACTCCACACGGTAAGATAACTCGCACACGAAGATAACCCACACGGTAATATAACACACACGGTAAGATAACTCGCACACGGTAAGATAACTCACACACGGTAAGATAACTCACACACGGTAAGATAACTCACACACGGTAAGATAACTCACACACGGTAAGATAACTCACACACTGTAAGATAACACACACGGTAAGATAACTCACACACGGTAAGATAACTCACACACTGTAAGATAACTCACACACGGTAAGATAACTCACACACGGTAAGATAACTCACACACGGTAAGATAACTCGCACACGGTAAGATAACTCTACACACGGTAAGATAACTCACACACGGTAAGATAACTCGCACACGGTAAGATAACTCGCACACGGTAAGATAACTCACACACGGTAAGATAACTCGCACACGGTAAGATAACTCGAGTATCCTACCATGATGCCTTGCTAAACACGGTAGGAGACGAGAGGTAGTGTTAACCGCCTGACTGTACAGACTTCACCTCACTGTCGCCCTCACCTCACCTCACCTGACACCTCAATTACTCATCTCCTCGCGCATGTCACCTTCCTCTCCTCGCCTATGGAGAGACGGAGGGGAGAAGGGTGAGTAGGAGGGGAGGAAGGATACGCGCTTTAGAAAGTTAGTGGAGAGGGAGAGGAGACGCGGGAGGGGAGAGAGAGAGGGGAGGTGGAGAGGGGAGAAAGAGGGGCGACAGACGAACGTCGCACAAGATCATTGATACGCTTCAGCCAGACGACGCCTTTAAAATGACCCGAGGAAGTAGTGGTGTTAATGGTGGTAGTGGTGTTAATGGTGGTAGTGGTGTTAATGATGGTAGTGGTGTTAATGGTGGTAGTGGTGATAATGGTGGTAGTGGTGATAAGAACACAAGAACATAAGACTGGAGGAAACAGCAGCGGGTCTATACTGGTCAGTCCCGTTTACACCCAACCCCTATCGCTCATATATCCATCCAGCCTCTGTTTGAAGCTATCCAGCGTATTAGAGTTAATGATGATGTTTGGTAACTTGTTCCACTCATCCACTACTCTGTTTCCAAACCATTGTTACGAGTTCACTCCTGGTTGGATAGTTTGAGTGCCTTTGTCATGTCCCCTTTGTTTAGCCCTGACTTCCATTTATACACTCTATCAGGTCGCCCTCACTCTACGTCTCTCAAGGAGTGCAAATTAAGATGCTTTAACCTGTCTCTGTACTCAAGTTCCTAATGCCCGGGATTAGTCTTGTCATTTTCCTCTGAATTTTCCAAGGATTCTATATCCATTGTAGTACGGTGACCAGAACTGAACTGAGTAATACAAGTGAGGTCTAACAAGGGCAAGATATAGTTTAGGATGACCTCGCTAGTCTTGTAACCACTTTGTATGAACCGAAGTACACTATGTGATATTGATGGTAGTTTGGTGGTAGTGGTGTTAATGATGGTAGTGGTGGTAGTGGTGTTAATGATGGTAGTGGTGTTAATGATGGTAGTGGTGTTAATGATGGTAGTGGTTGTGTCACATGTTCATTAGTGACACAAGTGTGTTTTGTTCATCACCACCAACACGCTATGACATACACAGGTGTGTACACGTCAGGTCAGAGTATAGGGTGTACAGGGTGTAGGTGTGTATAGTCTCTACCTTAATAAGACGGGCCATGTTCTTGGCCCTCCAGTATGGGGGCGGGAGGCAGCGTTGCAGCAGCAGGCCGGCCGGCCCTCTTTGTGGGGTCCAGGGCCCCGTAACACCCCCTAAACAGATCTCCGGGGCCCCCAATGAAGCTCTCAGACGCTGGTATGGCCTGAGGGCGCTTACCACACAAGCCGCTACCACTATTGGCCACTGCACCTGCTCCAGTGTTGGTGGTGGTGATGGAGTAGTCGTCATCGTCATCATCGTGGTGGTGATGGTGATGGTGGAGGAAGGAGTGGCGGCGGTGAGCGTCAAGGGGCACCACAGGTACTGATAGTTGGACACCCTCCTGTAGGCGATGAAGAAGGTTGGTGTTAGTGGTGGTGGTGGAGAGAGAGAGAGAGAGAGAGAGAGAAGAGAGAGTCGTAAGAAAACTTAATTTCTACGATCAGAATTTCTAAGACTGAGAAATTCACCCGACCTTATGTGACCCAGTATGACCTAACTTGACCCAGTATGACCTAGTATGACCCAGCAGGACCCAGTGTGATCCCAGTATGACCTAACATGACCCAGTATGACCTAGTATGACCCAGCAGGACCCAGTGTGATCCCAGTATGACCTAACATGACCCAGTATGACATAACATGACCCAGTATGACCTACCAAGACCCAGTTTGACCTACCAAGACCCCAGTATGACCTACCATGACCTTGCATGACCCCAGTATGACCTACCATGACCCAGTTTGACCTAGCATACAATGACCTAGCAGACATATGACCAGCAGGACCAGTGTGATCCCAGTATGACCTAACATGACACAGTATGACATAACATGACCCAGTATGACCTACCAAGACCAGTTTGACCTACATGACCAATGACCTACCATGTCCTTGCATGACCCCAGTATGACCTACCATGACCCAGTTTGACCTACCATGACCCCAGTATGACCTACCATGACCCAGTTTGACCTACCATGACCCAGTTTGACCTACCATGACCCCAGTATGACCTACCAAGTTTGACCTAGCATGACCCAGTATGACCTACCATGACCCCAGTATGACCTACCATGACCCAGTTTGACCTACCATGACCTAGCTTGACCCAGTTTGACCTAGTAAAAATAAGAAACCAAGTTCCACATGAAGGGAAAGGAAATATTCCCTAGGTATTCGAACACAAGTAAGATAATAGGGAGAAGCAGGTTAAATAGGAAGAGGTCAGGTTAAATAGGTAACTGACAAATACCGCCTCTCTCTTCTGTCTCTCCGGAATTACCTAACAGAAATGGACTGGACAGAAGCATATAGACCGGACAGAAAAGGCTGGACGGAAATAGACTGGACAGATTCATACCGGACAGAAACACACACTGGACAGAAACGCATATTGACAAACAAACTGGACAGAAACACACACAGTCTTTTCAATGTTTTCTGAGAAATGATTCGAGTCTCTGTAAAAGGAGAGAGAGAGAGAGAGAGAGAGAGAGAGAGAGAGATCCTCATAGTAATGGTTTGTCTATGTTAGTCTTGTGGTATGGCATCTAGCACAAACCTAACCTAACCACCAACCTAACCTAACCTAGCCCCTACCTTACCTAACCTAACCTAGCCCCACCTTACCTAACCTAACCTAGCCCCACCTTAACCTAACCTAACTTAGCCCCACCTTAACCTAACCTAACCTAGCCCCACCCAACCTAACCTAGCCCCACCTTAACCTAACCTAACTAACCCCACCTTAACCTAACCTAACCCTTAACCTAACAACTTAACCCCACCTAACCTAACTTAACCCCAGTAATTAAACATAAATAAAAAAGAATTATTTTATATCAACGTCTCCATCAACGCTGGTCAATGTTGCCAACTGTCCACGTCAAAAAAAACGGATTCTGGCATGTAGTCCCAAGAGGTGTTTTATTTTGATGGCAATTGGCACCACTGTTGTTTATAAATAATGTGTCCATGCTGTAACACACACACACACACACACACACACACACACACACACACACACACACACACACAGAGTATAAACCTACACAGGAATAGTTCAACACAGACAGGTAAAGGTCAAGGTAATCAAGGAAGCCAATTATCGATTACCACACCTGTTGAGCAACCACGTGGCACATTTGTCATACTATATTACACCTGACATGACTATCATACTATGGTACACCTGTCATACTATGGTACACCTGTCATCGTGGTACACCTGTCATAATATGGTACACCTGTCATACTATGGTACACCTGTTATACTATGGTACACCTGTCATCGTGGTACACCTGTCATACTATGGTACACCTGTCATATCGTGGTACACCTGTCATACTATGGTACACCTGTCATACTATGGTACACCTGTCAATGTGGTACACCTGTCTTACTATGGTACACCTGTCTTACTATGGTACACCTGTCATACTATGGTACACCTGTCATATCGTGGTATACATGTCATACTATGGTACACCTGTCTTACTATGGTACACCTGTCTTACTATGGTACACCTGTCATACTATGGTACACCTGTCATATCGTGGTACACATGTCATACTATGGTACACCTGTTATATTATGGTACACCTGTCATATCGTGGTACACATGTCATACTATGGTACACCTGTCATACTATGGTACACCTGTCATACACACCTGTCATATCGTGGTACACATGTCATACTATGGTACACCTGTCATACTGTACACCTGTCATATTGTGGCACACCTGTCATATTGTGGCACACCTGTCAAATTGTGGTACACCTGTCATACTGTGGTACACCTGTCATTGTGGCACACCTGTCATATCGGGGTACACCTGTCATACTATGGTACACCTGTCATACTATGGTACACCTGTCATACTGTGGTACACCTGTCATATCGTGGTACACATGTCATACTATGGTACACCTGTCATATCGTGGTACACATGTCATACTGTGGTACACCTGTCATACTGTGGTACACCTGTTATACTATGGTACACCTGTCATATCGTGGTACACATGTCATACTATGGTACACCTGTCATACTGTGGTACACCTGTCATATTGTGGCACACCTGTCATATTGTGGCACACCTGTCATACTGTGGCACCGCGCATAGGCACATCTGTCATATTGTGGTACACCTGTCATATTGTGGTACACCTGTCATATTGTGGCACACCTGTCATATTATGGTACACTTGTCATATTGTGGTACATCTGTCATACTATGGTACACCTGTCATAGCACTCATATTGTGGTACACCTGTACATAGTGGTACACCTGTCATATTGTGGCACACCTGTCATATTGTGGCACACCTGTCATAGTGGTACACCTGTCATGTGTCACCTGTCATATTGTGGTACACCTGTAATATTGTGGTACACCTGTCATATTGTGGTAATACTGTAATATTGGGTACACCTGTCATTATCATTAAACAAAATATATCCAATTTTACTAATACTACCACAACTACCACTACCAATAACTACCACACCACTACCACAACTACCACCACTACCACAACCACTAACCACTACCACAACTCACCACAACTACCACCACTACCACCACTACCAACTACCACAACCACCACCACTACCACAACCACTACCACTACCATAACTACCACCAACTACCACCACTACCACAACTACCACCACTACCAATAACCACCACCACCACCACCACAACCACAACCCTACCACCCACCACCACAACTCCACCACAACTACCACCACCACCACCACAACCACCACCACAACTACACAACCACCACAACTACAACCACAACAACCACAACTACAACCACAACTACCACCACCACCACCGCAACTACAACCACCACCACCACAACTACAACAACCACACCTCTACAACCACTATTAGTACTGGTAATTAAAAAAGAAAAGAGGAGAAGAGAGAGAGAGAGTAATTAAGACATTTTAGACTTAGTAGAATCAGTCATATAAATTAGACTTAGACATTGGACTTGACACACACACACACACACACACACACACACACACACACACACACACACACACACACACACGTGAGGTCCCTCCCTAACACCATCTGTGAGGGAATTACTACACCACGTGAGGCCTCCTCATAACACCATCTGTGAGGGAATTACGACACCACGTGAGGTCCCTCCTAACACCATCTGTGAGGGAATTACTGTGAGGTCCCTCATAACACCATCTGTGAGGGAATTACGACACCACGTGAGGTCCCTCCTAACACCATCTGTGAGGGAATTACTCACACCACGTGAGGCCCCCTCATAACACCATCTGTGAGGGAATTACGACACCACACGGAGTCCCTCCTAACACCATCTTGTGAGGAATTACTACACCACGAGGCCCCTCATAACACCATCTGTGAGGGAATTACGACACCACGTGAGGTCCCTCCTAACACCATCTGTGAGGGAATTACTACACCACGTGAGGCCCCTATAACACCATCTGTGAGGAATTACGACACCACGTGAGGTCCCTCCTAACACCATCTGTGAGGGAATACTACACCACGTGAGGCCCCTCATAACACCATCTGTGAGGGAACTACTAGACCACGTAGGCCCCTCATAACACCATCTGAGCCACTCCCCACCCATCTGTGAGGAATTACTACACCACGTGAGGCCCTCATAACACCATCGAGGGAATTACGACACCACGAGGTCCCCCATAACACCATCTGTGAGGGAACTACTACACCACGTGAGGCCTCATAACACCATCTGTGAGGGAATTACGACACCACGTGAGGCCCCTCATAACACCATCTGTGAGGAAGTACTACACCACGTGAGGCCCCCATAACACCATCTGTGAGGGAACTACTACACACGTGAGGCCCTCATAACACCATCTGTGAGGTAATTACTACACCACGTGAGGCCCCTCATAACACCATCTGAGGGAACTACTACACCACGTGAGTTCCCTCCTAACACCATCTGTGAGGGAGTTACTACACTACGAGTTTGCTGTTCAACACCTACATTAATCTGTATGTTCACTGTATGTTCCTTTACCTTTCTCTAATGAAGGCTTTTGTTAAACCACCAATGTATGTAATAAGTCATTTATGTCCAATGTATATTTTCAGCCCTCGGGCTGCAGAACTTTTTCAATAAACCGTTAATTATTACATAATATACATATATTATTATCACACACACACACACACACACACACACACACACACACACACACAGGAGATATAATACATAAATACAGTACATATACATACATACATAAACAGCACACAATTATATATATATATATATACACACACACCTGTACATTACAAGACAAATGGGTCCCAGTCCCATGGGCCCAGTCCTAATGGGCTCCAGGGCCCAGTCCGACCACCACCACCCAGTCCCAGGTCCCAGTCCCAGGCCACCACCACCCAAAACCCCCACAACACCACCCAACCCAGTCCCAGGGCCCCAGTCCCAGGGCCCCAGACCACGGGTCCCAGTCCCAGGGCCCCAGTCCCATGGTCCCAGTCCCAGGGCCCAGTCCCAAGGCAGTCCCACGGCCCCATACAGCAGTCCCAGCCCCACACAAGTCCAGTCCAGTAGTCCCAGTCCCAGGGCCCAGTCCCAATGGCTCCCAGTCCCACTCCCAGTCAGGGCCCCGAGGCCAGTCCCACCAACTAATGGGTCCCAGTCCCACGCCCAGTCCGGCCCATCCGGTCCCAGTCCCACGCCACACCACCAACCAACCACCACCACCGGCCCAGTACTAATGGTCCCAGTCCCAATGGGCCCCAGTCCCAGTGGGTCCCAGTCCCAATGGGCCCCAGTCCCAGGCTCCAGTCCAATGGGTCCCAGTCCCAAGCACCCCACCACCAGCTAATGGGTCCCAGTCCTAATGGGCCCCAGTCCTAATGGGCCCAGTCCTAATGGGTCCCAGTCCTAATGGGCCCCAGTACTAATGGGCTCCAGTCCTAATGGGCCCCAGTACTAATGGCTCCCAGTCCTAATGGCTCCCAGTCCTAATGGGCCCCAGGTGTAACAGGTCCCAACCTATCGGGCCCCAGTGGATATTAGTCCCCACAGTACCCTAAGGACTGGGGCCCATTAGAACTTGTGCCTATTAAGCCTGGGGCCGATTAAAACTGGTGCCTATTAAGCCTGGGGCCCATTAGACACCATGAACACAGACAAACAGACAACAAGAAAATAGGGAAATTGGTAAATGAGACGTAAAATAAGTTAAAGAAAAATAGATAAATAGCTGTAGTAAAATAGGAAGTAACAAGTTATTAATAGTTAAATAGGGATATACTTAAATAGGTGAAGAGTCAAATAGTCATGAAATATGGTCTAAAAACTGTATGGGGTTTAGTAGTTTCGTGATATAGGGAGAAATAGGAACATAGAGATATAGAAGGAAGGAAGGAAGGAAGAGGGAAGGAAGGAAGGAAGGAAGAGGGAAGGAAGGAAGGAAGAACCTCACTCTGTTAATGACAATGAAAACACACACAGAAAAAATACATCAGGTTAACGAGGTCAAGACGGCGGCCATTACTCCACGAAGACCCCGTTTACGACAACCAGGAGTAGGGGAGGGAAGCAACAGGGGGCAACAGAGTGTCTTATAACCCGTTAACAGTACTGTTGGTCACGTCCTAAGGCATTATTACAGTATATTATAGCCATTTATTATATATATAGTAACTCACCTTTTAGAAATTATATTGTAATAATAATAATAATAATAATAATAATAATAATAATAATAATAATAATAATAATAATAATAATAATAATAATAATAATAATAATAATAATAATAATAATAATAACAATAATAATAATAATAATAATAATAATAATAATAATAATAATAATAATAATAATAAGGTATCTTATTAATATAAATTACATCTTACTGAGGAATTTTTTTTGTGTTATTGAGAGAATCCGGCTGTCACATCCGGCTTTTTTTATATCCGGCGCTGTCACTCAGTCACTTCATATCCGGCTCTGTCACACTCGGCTTTTTTTATATACGGCTTTTAAATTTCCGGCTTTATTTCAGCCGGCTCATTACGTTAACATGTTGGCCAGCACTTGACTACAGTACAGTAGAGTAGGTCACAATGCAGTAGGTCACAGTACAGTAGGTCACAGTACAGTAGGTCACAGTAGAGTAGGTCACAGTAGAGTAGGTCACAATACAGTAGGTCACAGTAGAGTAGGTCACAGTAGAGTAGGTCACAGTACAGTAGGTCACAGTACAGTAGGTCACAGTACAGTAGGTCACAGTACAGTAGGTCGCAGTAGGTAGGTTACAGTACAGTAGGTTGTACAGTAGGTCACAGTACAGTAGGTCACAGTACAGTAGGTCACAGTACAGTAGGTCATCAGTAAAGTGGGTCTAGTACAGTAGGTCACAGTACAGTAGGTCTGGTACAGTAGGTCACAGTACAGTGGTCACAGTACAGTGGGTCACAGTACAGTAGGTCACAGTACAGTAGGCCACAGTAGGTCACAGTACTGTGGGTCACAGTACAGTGGGTCACAGTAAGTGGGTCCAGTACAGTAGATCACAGTACAGTAGGTCACAGTAGGTCACAGTAGAGTGAGTCACGGTAAGGAGTAGGTCACAGTAGAGTAGGTCACAGTAATGGGTCACAGTGAGTAGGTCACAGTACAGATCACAGTGCAGTAGGTCACAGTACGTGGGTCACAGTACAGTAGGTCTGTAGAGTGAATCACAGTACAGTAGGTCACAGTACAGTAGGTCACAGTACAGTAGGTCACAGTACAGTAGGTCACAGTACAGTAGGTCACGGTACAGTGGTCAAGAATTACAGACAGTAGGTCACAGTAGAGTGGGTCACAGTAGAGTGGGTCACAGTACAGTGGGTCACAGTACAGTGGGTCACAGTACAGTAGGTCACAGTACAGTAGATTGCAGTTGAGTAGGTCACAGTACAGTAAGTCACAGTACAGTAGGCCACAGTACAGTAGGTGACAGTACAGTAGGTGACAGTACAGTAGGTGACAGTACAGTAGGTGACAGTACAGTAGGTCACAGTACAGTAGAAGTCACAGTACGGTAGGCCACAGTACAGTAGGTCTGGTACAGTAGGTCACAGTAGGTCACAGTCAGATAAGTCACAGTACAGTAGGCCACAGTACAGTGAATGCAGTACAGTAGGTCACAGTACAGTAGGTCACAGTACAGTAGGTCACAGTACAGTAGGTCACAGTACAGTAAGTCAGTACAGTGGGCCACAGTACAGTAGACCCAGACAGTAGGTCACAGTACAGTAGGTCACAGTACAGTAGAGTCACAGTACAGCAGGTCACAGTACAGTAGGTCACAGTACAGTAGGTCACAGTACAGTAGGTCACAGTACAGTAGGTCACAGTACAGTAGGTCACAGTACAGTAAGTCACAGTACCATTGGGCCACAGTACAGTGGGTCACAGTATAGTAGGTCACAGTACAGTAGGTCACAGTACAGTGGTCACAGTACAGTAGGTCACAGTACAGTAAGTCACAGTACAGTAAGTCACAGTATAGTAGGCCACAGTACAGTAGGTCACAGTACAGTAGGTCACAGTACAGTAAGTCACAGTGCAGTAGGTCACAGTACAGTAGGTCTGGTGAGTAGGTCACAGTACAGTAGGCCACAGTACAGTAGGTCACAATTACAGTGTCACGGTACAGTGGGTGCAGTACAGTAGGTCACAGTGGCCACAGTACAGTAAGTCACAGTACAGTAGGTCACAGTACAGTAGGTGACAGTACAGTAGGCACAGTACAGTAAGTCACGTACAGTAGGTGACAGTACAGTAGGTGACAGTACAGTAGGTGACAGTACAGTAAGTCACAGTACAGTAGGTCTGGTACAGTGAGGTTACAGTACAGTAGGCCACAGTACAGTAAGTCACAGTACAGTAGGTCACAGTACAGTAGGTCACAGTACAGTAGGTCACAGTACAGTAGGCCACAGTACAGTAAGTCACAGTACAGTAGGTCACAGTGAGTAGGTCACAGTACAGTAGGTCACAGTACAGTAGGCCACAGTACAGTAGGTGACAGTACAGTAGGTGACAGTACAGTAAGTCACAGTATAGTAGGTCACAGTACAGTAGGTCACAGTACAGTAGGTCACAGTACAGTAGGCCACAGTACAGTAAGTCACAGTACAGTAGGTCACAGTACAGTGGTCACAGTACAGTAGGTCACAGTACAGTAGGTCACAGTACAGTAGGCCACAGTACAGTGATCACAGTACAGTAGGTGACAGTACAGTAGGTGACAGTACAGTAGGTACAGTAGGTGCAGTACAGTAGTCCACAGTATGATGGGTTACAGTACAGTAGGTCAGTGTAATGTTATCCTGCACACTGATGGTTGAGTAACTCTGCGCTGTACGGTAACACACACACTATGCTATAGGTGTAATAACAACACCGTTTAATACAGTAAAGAACAAGACACCATCAATAAGAGGTGGTGGGGGGGGGGGACATGCACGACACTGTACCCAACACACCTGTTTGACACTATCCTTCACGTGTCCCAGCAGGCAGATGGCACGGTCGAGACACATTTGCGAGACACTGGCTAGCACCTGTCCTGCGAGACAGGTGGCGCGCCCAAAGCACACCTGTGAGAGACAAGCCAAGAGCTGCCTCAGTACGCAGGTGCACACACCCCCTCCCTCCCGCCCCTTGTCCTGCCTCATGGACCGACACAACACCACACCCTGTGTCAGTGTACCACCATCTACTACCGGTGTCACACCTTGTGTCAGTTCAGCACCCTCTATTCCCTGTGTCACACCTTGTGTCAGTCCAGCATCATCTACTACCTGTGCCACACCTTGTGTCAGTTCATCACCATGTACTTCCTGTGCCACACCTTGTGTAAGTTCATCACCATGTATTTAACGTGTCACACCTTGTGTCAGGTCATCTCCATGTACTTCCTGTGTCACACCTTGTGTCAGTTCATCACCATGTACTTCCTGTGTCACACCTTGTGTCAGTTCATCACCATGTACTTCCTGTGTCACACCTTGTGTAAGTTCATCACCATGTACTTCCTGTGTCACACCTTGTGTCAGTTCATCACGTACCTTCTGTGTCACCTTTGTGTCAGTTCATCACCATGTACTTCCTGTGTCACACCTTGTGTCAGTTCATCACCATGTACTTCCTGTGTCACACCTTGTGTCAGTTCATCACCATGTACTTCCTGTGCCACACCTTGTGTCAGTTCATCACCATGTACTACTTGTTCCACACCATGTGTCACACCATGTAATAGAGCAGCACGTAATCTAGCCACACAGACAACAACAACAACAACAACACGAGCTGTTTAGTGACACACTGACCTTTCCGTTGTGCTGTGTCTGTGGAGGGAGATAGTCTCCATGGTTGGCTGTGGGCGTGGGGAGGAGTGGGTGTGTGGAGGAGGTGGTGGTGGAGGAAGGGGGTGGTGGTGGTGGCGGGTGGTGGTAGGGAGGTGGTGGTAGAGGCGTGTGTGGTGGTGGTGGAGGAAGGGGTGGTGGTGGTGGCGGGTGGTGGTAGGGAGGAGGTGGTGGTGAGCGTGTGTGGTGGTGGTGGAGGACTCACTATTGGCTACACTAAAACTAAAGGTATGATCACGAGCAGGGAAGGCGGCGGGCAGACTAACAAGGGCTGGGGTCGGGGAGTGGGCGTGCGTAGGGGTGGGTGCGGGCGTCAGGGTGTGGGTGGCGTGGGTGGAGGACGGAACCAGGTTTTGGGCGGAGGTGGGAGGGTTAGGAGGGGCCCAAGTTTCTTCAATCCTCAGCTGTATGCAGGCCAGGGATGCAGCTTCCTCCTTACTGCAAGCCAGCTCACCGCTCACCACCAGCTGTTGTAACTGTGAACCAGAGAAACATTATTGTATTTAGCGAACACTTAACGAGAGAAATATACTGTACTACTGAACACTTAATGAGAGAAATATACTGTACTACTGAACACTTAACGGGAGAAATATACTGTACTACTGAACACTTAACGAGAGAAAAACCTGTAAATTTAACACCGTAGACATAAACTCGCTCACTGAAGACTGGTGACCACACTCCTACACCACACACGTCCTGGAGCTGTTTTCTTTAACCTAACACTGTCAGGGTGCGTTTGTGTTGGTCCGGGGTATAATGCTCAAGTGAAGACGCGACCCTAAGGCTTAAGGATTTCAATTTCAACCAACCATCCCAGTCTCTGCTTTGCCCTGCCCTTGTTAAACTCAACTTGGTTTTTCCGGACACTGTAGCATATTCTTAACATGCCGATAGAGCGCCACATTATTCAAGACCTCTTAATCTATTCATGGTGTCTGATCAAAGCGCCCACGTTTATTTTTTAACCATACAGGCTAACCTAACCTAACCTAACCTAACCTATACCAACAAAACCTTGCCTAACCTAACCAAACCAACCTAATCTAACCAACGTTGTTTCCAGTGTAATTTCAATAAATACGCTTACTATAGGTAATGGGAGAGAGAGAGAGAGAGAATGAAATAATAATAATAATAATAATAATATTTAATTTATAATCAGTATCTCTCTCTCTCTCTCTCTCTCTCTCTCTCGGTAACCTCGGCCAGGTGATCTCCGTATCAACCCCAGAAATCAGGCCAAACGTGCCTGGGTGAGACCTGATGATACCTGCAGGTCATGTTGTAGTAGTAGTGGTAGCTATAGCGCAGGAGGTGGGCGCTCGGGCTACGTTACCGATAAGGGCAAATGGTTTCAGTCTCAATAAACAAGAATTTACAGATGCCATTGCTCTAAGGTACGGTCGGCCAGTAGAAGGTTTGCCCTCCCAATGCGTGTGTGGCTCTTCCTATGACGTCGATCACGCCATGGTGTGCAGAGGAGGCTTCATATGCATGAGGCATGACAGTAAGGGACCTCACAGCAAATATGTTGAAGGAAATCTCGGGACGTCATGGTAGAACCGAACCCTCCACTGGATCAGATCTTCCAACATAGGACTTCAAACACATCTAACGAAGCCCGTGTTGACGTCAGTGCTCGAGGATTCTGGACGCGGGGACAGCGAGCTTTCTTCGACATCAGGATTTTGATCCCATGGCCGTATGTCACCGTAACCTAGCTCTCGATGCTGCACATAGGAGGAACGAGAACGACAAGATAAGGGCATATGGGAGAGAATTGAGAAACGTTGATCAAGGCAGCTTCACTCCTCTAGTGTTCACAACCTCTGGTGGGATGGGACCAAGTGCAAGATGTTTCTACGCCAGACTCATGGGCTGATCTCCGAACGAAGCAGCAGCCCAGAGTTATGTTACAGCCTGGATGAGATGTCGACTGTCCTTCTCCTCCTTAGAGCGGCTTTGCTCTGCCTCAGGAACGAGAGCATCTGGCCCAAAGCCGACAACTGCTGCAGATATTGACTATGGCTACAGTCACTGAATGCCTCACAGATCTGCGGCTCAACCAACTACAGATAGGATAGTTACTTATGTATTAGGATATTTAATATTAAGGTAATAAAATGGCGGCGAAGGTGTGGCTATTGGGGAGGCTGGGCCACGTTAAAAAAGTAGTAGTAGTAGTAGTAGTAGTAGTAGTAGTAGTAGTAGTAGTAGTAGTAGAAAAGTAGTAGAGTATATATATATAGTAGTAAAGATAGTAGTAGTAAAGTATATAGTAGTAGTAGTAGGTGTTATAAGAGGTGTTCACAACTTAAGAACAACATGGGTGGTGTTTGTTCGTGGTCGGTGTTGGGAGGATTACCACGAACAAGTCTAGAGGCCTATTTGTTTTTCTGGTGATTCGAACTTTCCAAACTCGCCCATAACTTTCGCCCCATAATAACTCGCCCCATAATAACTCGCCCATAATAACTCGCCCCATAATAGGTTGGGTTAGGTTAGGTTAGGTTAGGTTAGGTTAGGTTAGCGTTGATTGGTGTCAGGTTAGTGTTGTGTCAGGTTAGTGTTGTGTCAGGTTAGTGTTGTGTTAGGTTAGTGTTGTGTCAGGTTAGTGTTGTGTTAGTTAGGTTAGTGTTAGGTTAGTGTCAGGTTAGTGTTGTGTTAGGTTGGGAGTTAGGTTGGGTTGAGTGTCAGGTTGTGTTGTGTCAGGTTAGTGTTTGTGTCAGGTTAGTGTCAGGTTAGTGTTGTCAGGTTAGTGTTGTGTCAGGTTAGTGTCAGGTTAGTGTTGTGTCAGGTTAGTGTTGTGTCAGGTTAGTGTCAGGTTAGTGTTGTGTCAGGTTAGTGTTGTGTCAGGGTTAGTGTTGTGGGTTAGGTTAGTGTTAGGTTAGTGTTGTGTTAGGTTAGGTTAGTGTTGGGTTAGTGTTGTGTTAGGTTAGGTTAGTGTTAGGTTGGTGTCAGGTTAGTGTTGTGTTAGGTTAGGTTAGGTTAGTGTTGTGTTAGGTTGGGTTAGGTTAGGTTAGGTTGAGTTGGGTTAGGTTAGGTTAGTGTTGTGTTAGGTTAGGTTAGTGTTAGGTTAGTGTCAGGTTAGTGTTGTGTCAGGTTAGTGTTGTGTCAGGTTAGTGTTGTTAGGTTAGTGTTGTGTCGGGTTAGTGTTGTGTTAGGTTAGGTTAGTGTTAGGTTAGTGTCAGGTTAGTGTTGTGTTAGGTTAGGTTAGGTTAGGTTAGCGTCAGGTTAGTGTTGTGTCAGGTTAGTGTTGTGTCAGGTTAGTGTTGTGTTAGGTTAGTGTTGTGTCAGGTTAGTGTTGTGTTAGGTTAGGTTAGTGTTGGGTTGGTGTCAGGTTAGTGTTGTGTTAGGTTAGGTTGGGTTAGGTGGCGTCAGGTTAGTGTTGTGTCAGGTTAGTGTTGTGGGTTGGGTTGGTGTTGGGTTAGTGTCAGGTTAGTGTTGTGTTGGTTGTTGGTTAGGTTAGCGTCAGGTTAGTGTTGTGTCAGGTTAGTGTTGTGTTAGGTTAGGTTAGGTTAGGTTAAGGTTAGGTTAGTTAGGTTAGGTTAGGTTAGGTTAGGTTAGGTTAGCGTCAGTTAGTGTTGGGTTAGTGTCAGGTTAGTGTTGTGTTAGGTTAGTGTTGTGTTAGTTAGGTTAGTGTCAGGTTAGTGTTGTGTTAGGTTAGTGTTGTGTTAGGTTAGGTTAGTGTCAGGTTAGTGTTGTGTCAGGTTAGTGTTGTGTTAGGTTGGGTTAGTGTCAGGTTAGTGTTGTGTCAGGTTAGTGTTGTGTTAGGTTAGTTAGTGTCAGGTTAGTGTTGTGTTAGGATAGTGTTGTGTTAGGTTAGGTTAGTGTCAGGTTAGTGTTGTGTCAGGTTAGTGTTGTGTTAGGTTAGTTAGTGTCAGGTTAGTGTTGTGTTGGTTAGTGTTGTGTTAGGTTGTGTTAGGGTTAGTGTTGTGTCAGGTTAGTGTTGTGTTAGGTTAGGTTAGTGTCGTGTTAGTGTTGTGTTAGGTTAGTGTTGTGTTAGGTTAGGTTAGTCGGTTAGTGTTGTGTCAGGTTAGTGTTGTGTTAGGTTAGGTTAGTGTCAGGTTAGTGTTGTGTTAGGTTGTGTTGTGTTAGGTTAGGTTAGTGTCAGGTTAGTGTTGTGTCAGGTTAGTGTTGTGTTAGGTTAGGGTTAGTGTCAGGTTAGTGTTGTGTCAGGTTAGTGTTGTGTTAGGTTAGGTTAGTGTCAGGTTAGTGTTGTGTCAGGTTAGTGTTGTGTTGTTAGGTTAGTGTCAGGTTAGTTGTGTCAGGTTAGTGTTGTGTCAGGTTAGTGTTGTGTTAGGGTTAGGTTAGTGTCAGGTTAGTGTTGTGTCAGGTTGTGTTGTGTTAGGTTAGGTTAGTGTCAGTTAGTGTAGGTTGTGTGGTAGTTAGTGCAGTTAGTGTTGTGTCAGGTTAGTGTTGTGTTAGGTTAGGTTAGTGCGTGTGTGTGTCAGGTTAGTGTTGTCAGGTTAGTGTTGTGTTAGGTTAGGTTAGTGTCAGGTTAGTGTTGTGTCAGGTTAGTGTTGCGTCAGGTTAGTGTTGTGTTATGTTAGTTAGTGTCAGGTTAGTGTTGTGTCAGGTTAGTGTTGTGTTAGGTTAGGTTAGTGTCAGGTTAGTGTTGTGTTGTGGTTAGTGTTGTGTTAGTTAGGTTAGTGTCAGGTTAGTGTTGTGTCAGGTTAGTGTTGTGTTAGGTTAGGTTAGTGTTGTGTTAGTGTTGTGTCAGTTAGTGTTGTGTTAGGTTAGGTTAGTGTCAGGTTAGTGTTGTGTCAGGTTAGTGCTGTTAGGTTAGTTAGTGTCAGGTTAGTGTTGTGTCAGGTTTAGTGTTGTGTCAGGTTAGTTGTTAGTTAGGTTAGTGTCAGGTTAGTGTTGTGTCAGGTTAGTGTTGTGTTAGGTTAGGTTAGTGTCAGTTAGTGTTGTGTCATTAGTGTTGTGTTAGGTTAGGTTAGTGTCAGGTTAGTGTTGTGTCAGGTTAGTGTTGTGTTAGGTTAGGTTATGTGTCAGGTTAGTGTTGTGTCAGGTTAGTGTTGCGTCAGGTTAGTGTTGTGTTAGGTTAGGTTAGT